AAAATAAAACCGCCTGGGAAAAAACCTCTTTGACTGAAGCTTGAAATGACAAGACGGGGCAAGATTCGACCTTGACCTCAGACTTGCCCGTTACTTATGCCTGTTTGGTACTCCTGTAATCGCCGTGTCCAGATAATAGAGGCCCTCGATTAAAGCTGGTAATTGACGATAACATTTAATAAGAAAAATATGTTCCGGCTCAGCACCTAGCGGTTGTTGTTGCCGTGTAAGACTGTCACAATAACTTCCCTATAACCCATAAGCCGGCCTAGCCTTAGGGGCACTTAGAGCCATTTTTCTTTCACGAATATCTTAACTCTAACCATGTTCTTGTTCCTGGCCCAAACTTTAGGCTAATCCTAACCCTGACTCTAACAGCGATCCTATCAGGAAAACAATTTTTGTATCCAGTACTAGATAAAGATCTACCATAATATGGGCCCATCGTGTTCTTCTAAATAAGCGCCGACAATGTAATAACGAAACAAGAATGTTTGGTTTTTCTGCAAGTATATTTTTATGATTAGCACGGTGTCAGCGTTAAGATTTTGGATTAGTTGGGATATGGATACTATAGATTAACAAAATTATATGAACACAGACTTAACGTAACCTTTCAGGAACTATCAGTCAATAAAGCAGATGCAATAGAGTTTACCTATTTCTGTTAAATCGGCATATGAATGAATAAAGTGGTGCCAAACCACCTTTGCTTTTCTTTTATCTTGTGTCGGGTATCCCATGCAATCCGAGCAGGTACCGAACTCAAGTCTAACGTGTTAGTAGCCATGAGCTCTTCTCCCCGCCTCACGTCCATTGTAATTCCAGTTTCTTACAAAGCTCTATAGTCCAATACTGACTGCGTGGCAAAGCGGTAGCGCGCTAGACTGCTAACACGTGAGTCTCCAGTGCGAATCCGAGTTCAAGTCAATAGAACGTCCCTAATTAACAGCCATTTCTGATGGGTACCTAACTCATGTTAGGGGATGTAAAGGAGGATGGGGATAGTGCTGGCCACATTATCCCTTCATACGCCGAGGTCAAGAAACATGAACTCTACTTCATCTGCCCAATGTATCGCTAGGTCTAAAGAGGAATTTTTGCATTTGTTTTATAGTCCTAGACTCCAACAATGTAGCTATGGTGAGTTGCCAGATGGTCATGTGGCAGAGTGTATGCCTGCTAACCCGAAAGTCTCCGGTTCGGAACCCGAATTCGAGTCCCTATGACGTTTCTGAGTCCACACAGATCTGACGGGTAGCCTGGTTAGAAAAGATAAGTCTGGGCATAGTGCTGACCACAGAAACAGATGAACTCTACTTCATCCGATCCATTCGAAAGTGCAACTTTACTTTTATAGTATGGTTAAACTATTAGGGTTAGGATTTGGGTAGGATAAGCATGGTTAGGGTTTAATTTAAACACACTAGTAGCACAATACAAGTTGTTAAATTTCAATATATTGCGGACTCTACTTAGAATCATGTTAGGATCTTGATTTTGGTTAGGCTGGGGTTAAGGCCACAGGTTAGGGTTGCAGTATTGGTCAAACAAAATTTAGCTACGGCAAGATAACAAACATAGTACAACGAACATACAGCTTACAAATTAATATAAATAGATCGAATCCGTTGCCTCTAAGAACCACAGCAGCTCGTATCGATCAGCTATCACGGCTCTGCTAGTCTCGCCAGCCTGAACCTAGCCATGAACTGACCTTGACCTCCATGAACTAACCTTGACCCTATCAATCAGTGAGTATTGACGCCGAACAGACAAAAACAAATCTCTAGGATTTCGTAGGTCCTCTAGTGGTCCTTTAATTTTTAACAAAATTATTAAAAAAACAAACCTAACACCGATTTATTTACACATCAAGCTTTCAAAATGAGTGTTTTTATAACTGGTTTATAATTTTAATAAAATAACGCGCCGCACTTAATCAACTTAATGCTAAGCTGTACAGAGCGGTTAAATGCTTTTCTTGGTGATATAAAATAATCACTTACACACAAATATATACTTACACACAAAGTTCGTATTTTTGTAAAGCAGATTTACATGAGTACACATGTCTTAAAACGTATTCTTTAAGCGGAAACATGAAGACCCCAAATGTACGAAACCACTTAATGTGTGGGCTCTACTAAAAGTTGTACTTCAGGTGGGTGTGGTGCCATTGGCGCAGCGACAAACTGACCAGTGACAAAACGGCCCCGACATAATTTTTTGTCGTCGGCCTTTTGACTCTCAGGAGGTCATTTTTCGGGGAGCCAATATATTACGGCTTATTTTTCGGGATCCATTTTGTCGTGAGCATTTTTGTTAGTGAGGGAAGGCGTGGCCTAGCAGAAGAGAGCTAGACAGCTAACCAGAAAGTCTCGATCTCGATTCTCAAATCCGGGTTCAAGTCAAAAGAACGTCCATGTGTCCACCCAGCTCTGTTGGGTACCTAATTCATGTTAAGGAAAGTAAAGCCGGGTGGGCATAGTGCTGAGCACACTATCCCTTCATATACCTAGGTCACAAAAACAGGTGAACTCTACTTCACTTGCCTCATGGACCGTCAGGTTCGAAAAGGGAACTATACTTTTTGTTAGTAGCCTTTTTGCCCAAATTGTATTTGTGAGCAATATTGTAGGGGATCTTTTTTTTAGGACGATCTATATGGGGACCTTTTAACAGGGGCTATTGGTCGGTGTCACTTTTGCCAAGGCATTACATTCGCGGGCCTGTGGTTAGGTGGTATTTCCCGGAGCGCACTTCACACGTGATAGAAATGTTGTCGCGATTAAAGAAGAACAATATGAATAAACAAAAGTGCTCAAAAGCTTTTTATTGAAAAATCTAAAATATGAAAATTAACACTGAGCATTATTTTTATTTTAAATAGTTTGCAAAATTAGCATAACACATGTTTTTATTCCCCGGTAATGGCAGAGTCGGAATTTTTAAAAACTAAAATCACTATCCTTACCCTGGTCCGAGACCTTACACTTACACTTACACTATCGACTGCTACGCCGATAGAAAATATGATCCCACCGGTACGATATTGAATTACCCTAGCTAAGAAAACAGAAGCGTTAGTAGAGGGAAAAAACATATTCGAATTACAATGCATTATCATCGGATCTTGACCTACTATTTGAAAATTCAAAATCAGTGAAACTCTGGGGTTGTCTATTTCAAGGTAGCAGAGTAACAAAGTTTGATACTCTCAAAGTCAAAGCATATCTGAATCAGGACAAATCCAGTCCAGCCAGTGAACTGAGATCAAAGTCACTTTGACCTACAGTCATGCGTGTGTGTGTGTGTGTGTGTGTGTGGGGGGGGGGGGGGGTTAGTGTTTGTTCCCAGTCTGTCTAAACAAAGGCTATACCGCACGGCCTAGGATAGGGAACCTGATTTTTTTTTTTAATATTCCTATTTGGTTAAGAGCTATCCTGTAGTTATTTCTTCTAAATGTATTTCAAGAATAAAGTTATAAAATCAGAGTAAAACAAATATTTTGAATCCCACCAACCCCCTGTAGCACTAAAGGGGCTATTCTCAAAATGATTTAAATGATAGGCAACAATACGACCTTTGCACCTTCTTAAGCCCCTTCCCATTGCAACACTGGAAGTCCGACCGCCGCCGCCCCTTCCTTAAAAATGAACACACAAAGTGTAGAACGTCCAGAGTTTCCAGCCAGAGTTTATTCCAGGCATCTCTTCGGGGGGGGGTGATATATATATATATATATATATATATATATATATATATAGTTGGCCTATATATAGGCCATGGGCCTATACTTGGGGGGGGGGGGGGCACTCATAACAGATGAACTCTAAGTCTACTACATCTGCACAAGCAAGGACTGTCTAGGTAGAAATGGTACTTTACTGTTTTTGTTACTCACTTATTTGTTAAAGATTAAATTCTAAAAAGTAGCATAGCTATAGGCCTAGCCTAGACAGCATAAGAAGACTCAGCATGTCAGCATATAGAATCTAGCTAGCTGTGCTTTTGTATAGACCAGTCCAGTGTTTGAATAAATCAGTGGCGTTGGCAGGGGGGGGGGGTTATTAAAACAGTTTTCTAAAACGCGAAATAATATCTAAAATTCGTTTTCTAACATTGCTTTTTTATAATGCAAAAGTGTGACGTCGCACCATCTGAACACCCCACCTCCCCCTCATCACACACCGTCACAAAATTACGGACCCCCCCCTCGAGTGTGACGTCATTTATGGACGACCCCATATATATATATATATATATATATATATATATATATATATATATATATATATATATTTATATTTATATGGAAAAATATTTTAACCCCTCCCATGACCAATTCCTGGCTGCGCCACTGGAAAAAAATTGTTGTAATTAATAACATTTCTTTAATGTAATTACCATCCCCAATTATTTTCAAATATTAATAGACTAAAACAACAATATTATTAATGGGAACGATAAACAAACATGCATATTTTTTAAAAAATGTTAATGCAAGTTACTTTAAAAGCCAGTTATTTTAATGCATATTATCACTAAATCTAGATGTATTTACCCTTACATTTCAACCTAAGATGGAAAAAAAAATTAAAATCTGCATAAATTTAATTATTGCAATGCTCATTAGTAAATTTAACTACAACATTTGCATGTTTTAAAATATAGAAATCTAGATCTACTTTGTTTTTATTATTCTACTAAATTCTCATTCAACATTTTCTATATCTTTCGTTTTCCTGTTATGACCGATTCCAACTGGTTTGGGACGGCTGAGCTCGCGCTGTAAATTTTGGTATCGAGATGTTAATATAAATCGTAATCACACTTTGATAATTATTAAATCTTACTGCACTAGCATATATGAAAATTATTAAATAAAATTATAAGGATATATGAGTTAATTTTATCCTTAATATTATTTTATAATTTAAAAACTAGAAACAACTAGATTTAAATTATGATCATTTTTTTAATTTTTATTTTTCTAAAGCTAAGTACTCGATTACACAGAGAAGCGGACGGTTGGCTGGAGTATAAAAGCCAAACCTCCGTGAATTATTGCGAGAATTTTCTGTATAAAATTATTTGTGCTACTAGACTAACCAAGCTTGCAAATTATTATTAAAAATGTCTGGACGTGACGGTAAATATTCATTATACTTTGATTTAGAATATGTATTTATCTATAGCATATTTACGCGCGTGTATGCTTTACGCTTGTCTACATTTGACATAGGCTAACTGTCTTTAGATCTGGCTAGACCCGAATCTAGCAGACGCTAAACAACTTGTTTGCTAGCCGGGCAATGGCTGTGGTTGTAAACTAGCCGTCTAGATCTACAAATCTAATCAAATCACTGTTAATCAGAAATCCTCTAGATCTAGTCATGGGCTGGAGTAGATTTATAGATTCTAGAGACGCTAGATCTAATAATTTAATACTAGATCTAGAATCTAGTTCTAGTAGTTTTTTACTAGGATCAAGATTTACTTAGACTTAATCTAGATCTAGAAAATCTAGACTAGATCTAATCTAGATCTAGATCTAGATCTAAATCTAGATCTAGATTCTCTAGAGTCTTAGATCTAGATCTAAGATCAGATGTAGAATATTAGTCTAGAATCTACTAGAATATTGTAGAATCTAGAGATCTAGATCTTTGATGGTAAATTTTAAATTGATAGACCTAGATTTATCTTACGACTTAAATTTTATTTTATTTTGTTTTAGTCTAGAGAATCTAGGCCTATACTAGACTGTCTATACTTTATACTATACTTATAAATCTAGATAGATCTAGACTAGATCTAATTTCTAGATTCTAGATCTATAATCTATAGTCACACAGATCTAAACTGGAATTTATCTAGGTCTAGATCTAGATCATATAGAATCTAGATAGGTGAAGGACCCAGCCAGTAGCCCCAGTAACTTAACTTTTATTTATTAGATCTAGATCTAGGCCTATATATTTATATTTTTATTTAAGTACCCCACAAACCCCCATTAAAACTACTAATCAACTTTTGAGGTAGAGAATCTAACAACCACTGATGTTCTTTGATCCTACTCTACTCTCTAGAATCTAGATTTAATTTAATTTACAAGCAATCTAATCTAGATTATAATTATATACTAGACTTATATAGATCTAGTGATCTATGTGCAGCAGATTGTTTAGATTTCTAAATCTAGGATCCATTCTAGATATCTAGATCTAGGAGGGGGACTTATTTATTTAAACTTATTTAAGTGCCTGTTTTTAGTTTTACTTGCCTGTCTTAAGTGTATGTATTGTATTATGTATGATTATGTACTAATCTAGATATAGATCTAAGTCTAATGACATATATATGTAGATCTATGACAGTCTATGCATGTACTAAGTTTGGCTTAGGTGTTGGCTAGACATCTTTTTTTTTTTTTTTTTTTTGATCTCTCAGATGTATCTCTTCTACTTCTAATGTGCAACACTACTTACTATAGATCTAGATTTCTAGATTCTATAATTACTTTAGAATTCTTTTCTATGTAGAATTTTCTACCAGTGTTACTACTAGATTCCTCTAGTTTAGCAGTTTCTATATTTGCTAGTTTATTTTATAAATTTAAGTATACAAAATTAAACCTACTTGGTCAAAAGTGAGAACTAATATCATAACTGTTTTGTAGGTGGTAAAAAGAAAGGAGCTGCTCCAAAGGAAACTGAAGCAAAGAACCAGACTGAGGCCCCTGCTGCAAAAGGTGCAGATAAAGGTAAGATGTTTCTTCTGTAAATATGGAAGAAAATTGATGGCTCTGCTTTTTGTCCAGGCCTGCACAGCAAGTTTGTTGGTATTTCTTTATTTTCATGATCATTTGTGAGGCTCAGTTATTTGTGTGCTTTTACACTTTCTCCACAGCTGGTTTATCCTGTATAAAGTGAAGCCTAAGAATAAGCACATTTACAGCTATCCAGAAATATTCCTTGAATTGGATTCCTACATCTGCAAATTATATATTTTGTTTATAATCTCTTCCACATTCCCATTTTTTTTTTTTACACTAGGCCCTATATAGAATTCAGCTAAGGAACCAACCCATTGGAGACTTCTCCAGATCCAGTTTTGGCAAACATTAAAATTTAAACTGGAATTCCTTTGCATATTCCTGAATATATTTTTTTTCTTTCACAGCTGCTGGTGGAAAGAAAGGTGGCAAAAAGTAAGCAAGGGTCCAGTATGGTCTTCATCTCATCCTGTCCATAGTTTCTTCAAATGGTCATGATCGTTATTCTGCAATCCAATGTTGTAAAAAATATTTGCAATTGATATTAAATGTTTTTAATGTAGTTTTATTTTTGTTTGCAGTTTCTATTCTTGTTTGGCTGATTAAATTGTCTGTATGAATGATCTATTAATTCAGATATGGGATGTAGCAATGTATTAGAATTGGTCTTGTACAGCTCCACAACTTGTGTGATACAATCCACAGGTTAATAGTCAAGAATAATTTATTTCACTTGTAAAATTTATTTACTAACAGCTAATCTGCAAAAAAATCCCTGATTAATGTGTGAAAGTGGAGGCTGTATTATGTAAAAAAATAGTTGTTACATCTAAACCTTGTGAAGTATAGTTTTTAAAAACTTGCCTACTTCAGTACAAATACCACAATGGCAATGTTTAATGCATAGTGTGCTGCATTTGTGTATATAAAAATATCTGAAGAAATTGCTCTAGTACCATAGCCATCTAATTTAGTGGCTCAAATGCTACACAATAGACCAGTGGTAAGAAGACATTGATTGCAATTGTATTAAAGATTGCAAGCAACCCTTGTGCTCAATGAAGGCAAGGTTGCACCAGTTTTGAAAATTTTTAACATTTGGCAACCACAAATCCTGCTACTGGTAATACTAGTAGTGTTGCTACATTGTCATTTTGTCTCGTTACCATTTAATTAGTAGGCCTACAGTGGAACAATTTACAATATTAAACAACTAAATTGCAACCAAAACATATATTGGACACTGACCTGCAATTACACAATTCAATTTTAACAGGATGTAATTGTGGCATGAGTCAAGTTGAAGTAGTAGTTTTAGGCAACTGGCCACAAAAAAACATGAATTCAAGTAATCAAACTACGTCACTAATTCTTTGGTTCTCTGCAGCAAGGGGAACACTTGCTTACATAAGTGTAAAAGTAAAAGACTTAACACAATTTAGGGAAAAGGCTGAACTTTTGTGATGACTAATTTTTTAATGAAGGAAAGTTTGAAATTTATTAATAATTTTGCGTGTTTGAAAACATTTTGTTTATAAATCGTAATTACGTTTGATTAATAATAGCGAGGTTACTTAATGCTGTTACGTAGCAATTTTTTTCTAAAAATATTTACTAAGTTTTTATGGTGTGTGATGCTGAGGTGTGACGACAGTCTGGTGGGGGGTCACCATGGCGAAAAAAATGTACATAAAACGTGGTGCTTTTTCCAGTTTCATTTACAACTAATTAAGAGTTGCATACAATTTTAAATAGGCCTACATGTAACATCTCCGGATGAGTATGATAGGGGAAAATTGTTTATTACAAAGAAAAATATTCTTTATCGAGTTAAAGTTAAAGTACTGAAAGTAATAAACGCATTCTTTATTCCTCTCAATATTTATTTATTCCTCTACTAGAAGGGGTAGGGGGTGTCATACAATTGAAAAAGTTGGGATTATTACAACACCAAGGTTATAAAAAATATTTAGTAGGACAACATTGGGTTAATATCACACATGCACAAATGTTGACACAAGTCGTCCAAAAAAATAAAAGAGATAGTTGGGGTGACACCAATTAGCGAGTGAGCTGATTTTACACATCACAGTTGAACTTACTGAACAGTGTTTCTTCCAGACTTTTTTCTCCGGGGAGGCACTTGAAATTTTCGGGGGGGGGGGGGGGACACTGTTAAAAGTATAAATTTTCTATATAAATTATATAAATTTCATTTCGTTCGGGGGGGGGGGGGGAAAGGGGGCTCACTGGAAGAAACTGCTACTGAAAGAGGATAGGGTTGACAGCCAATAGAAACAATCGCCACATATAAATCGATTGCTAGGTAAATGAACGTCACAATTTTGGTTTACCGCATATAAAAGCTTAACTTAGTGAGTGTATATTTTTTTGTGTGGGGGAGGGGGGGGAGCTTTAAGCCCTAATACAAATTGTAAACTTAATTGGGTGAGTAGGCTTAGAATAGGTAGTACAAACTGAAGTTAACCATAGATCAGAGGCGTAGCAAGGGGGGGGGGGGGACATATGTCCCCGGGCGCCGACCTTAGGGGGCGCCAAAATGGATTGGAAAGACAAATTGAAAGTTTGAGGGGGGGGGGGGGGGTGTAAATCAAAAGTTCGAGGGCGGGGGGTGCAAATCGAAAGTTTGAGGGGGGAGGGGTGAAAATCGAAAGTTTGAGGGGGGGGGGGGTGCAAATTGAAAGTTTGTCCCCGGGCGCAAGGAAGGGTCGCTACGCCTCTGCCATAAATTGCAGACTTCTGTAGTGATGATGTCCCGAAAGAACTTTCAATTGTAAGCTCTATGACTATGACACAAATTTATAAAAAATATCTTAATAAATAAAACAGTTATGCGATTTTTAAAAAAAAGCAGAATTGTAGAAGAAAAAAAAACTGATTTTCAAAAAGTGCCATTTTTGAGAACCAATATTTTCTAAAATAAATAACATAGAAGTGTAGAAATTGGTAAAGTTGCTGCAAAGTTTGTAATATCTATGGCCAATTTCAGTCATCTAAAATGAATCTTTCTGAGGTAGAAAAAAATAATTGAAAATTACAAAAATGCGTTGTATTTTCATACTAAGAAAAAAAAAAAAGAAGAGAAAAATGATAGAATTCAAAAATTTGTAAAAAAAAATGTTTTGCTTTAGACACAGAATAATTCTAAATCTAAAAATATTGTGTTGATAACATTAACAGGAATAATGTATTCATTATTTTTTATATTACAAGAAACAGAATCTAAATTTAGTGGAGTTGTATGTAGTCTAATAAAGACCTGGTCCCCACAAGTGAAGCAGCATGAGTTGATGCCACATCAGGGGCGTAGCGAGGGGGGGGGCGGGGGGTGCGGACCGCACCGGGTGACACCATTTAGGGGGGGTGACACCAAGGCAAAAGATAGCAAAATATATAGAGAAAAACTCGAGGGGGGGCGGTGCAAATCGAAAGTTTGAGGGGGGGGGTGCAAATCGAAAACTCGAGGGGGGGGGGTGCAAATCGAAAGTTTGAGGGGGGGGGGGGTGCAAATCGAAAATTTGAAAGTTTGTCCCTGGGAAGGGTCTCTATGCCTCTGGGGGGGTGACACCATTAAGTGCCGCACCGGGTGACACCCGACCTCGCTACGCCACTGTGCCACATGCTTTAATTTCTTTACAAACCTATCGGGTTTATAACTGCTTTGGGGGGAACAGTTTTTAGCGCAATTTCCATACGGACAATTGCGATTATTAATTAACTCGTTCTGGATGGATGTGTGTCCAATGTGTGTCCGCAGCTTTAAGTCGTATCCAGAGTTTCTTCCAGGCATCTCTTCGGGAGGGCGAAGCCCCCCCCCCCCCCCGAACGAAATGAAATTTATATAATTTATATAGAAAATATATACTTTTAACAGTGTCCGCCCCCCCCCCCCCCGAAGAAAGTTTACCGCCCCCCCGAAGATTTCAAGTGCCTCCCCCCCCCCCGGAGAAAAAGTCTGGAAGAAACACTGGTCGTATCTCCTCCTCAACGAAGCAATATCGAGGACTAGTTCCAAAAGCAAATATGTTAAGCAAGTTCCGAGGATGATTGTGGGCCAAAAAAATTCCCGGAATTCCTTTCTGGATTTCTCGGAAAAGCCAAAAAAAACTCGAAAAAAAATGCAGTTTTTGGCCCATATCTCGGCAACCAGACCACTTAGCGACTTGAAACATTTACCAATCGATTCCTGCCATAATTTAGAACAATATTGCCGAAGGAAGTTTTCAAAAATATCCTTTCGTTCGGTCACAAAAAATTAATTAAGGAAATTGCGCTTAAATTGTCACTAGACTTTTTATTAACTTGTTTTTAACCACAACTCCACATCTTTGTAAGGCTTTTTTCCCTGAACCTTGATTTGGTGGAGCATCAAGAGTGAGCAGTGTTTCTTCCATACTTTTTTTCTCCTCGGGGGGGGGGGGGGGGGAGAGGGGGGCGGGGGTGAACACTGTTAAATATATGTAAAATGTATATATTTTCTAAATGCTCGGGGGCGGGAGGGGGGTGCGGACACTGTTAAATATATATTTTTTCTATATACATTCCATATTGTCGGGTGGGGGGGATCCCTGAAGAGATGCCTTGACGCCTGGAAGAAACTCTGAGAGTAAGCGAAACGTTTTTTTTGGGAACTGTAAGGGGGGGGGGTGGCCTTAATTTTCTTCCTTTCTGTAAGGAAAGTTCTGGATAGGCTATCATAAATATCCCCTGCTGTGGAATAAACAATTGATTTAGTGATTAATAAAATATTAATGAAATTCACTACTAACCTGCTATTGTGTAGACCTACTATTTGTCCTATAACTATAAACTTAAAATTCGACGTTAGAATAGTTGAGAAGCGGGAATATAAAAGTTAAACATTTTACAAGCAAAATTTCTCTTAGGTTTTTATTTACTAACTGGTCGTCCATAAATGATTACATTTTGTGACGATGTACAGAGTTTCTTCCAGGCATCTCTTCGGGGGGGGGGGGGGGGGGGGGGGCGGAGCCCCCCTACACCACCCACCGAAAAAATTCTACCGCCCCCCCCCCCCCCGTACGAAATGAAATTTATATAATTTATATAGAAAATATATACTTTTAACAGTGTCCGCCCCCCCCCCAAAGAAAGTCTACCGCCCCCCCCCCCCCCCCGAAAATTTCAAGTGCCCCCCCCCCCGGAGAAAAAAGTCTGGAAGAAACACTGACGATGTAGCAGGGGGCGGACTTGAAGGTGTGACGACACGTCACTGTTTATAAAGTCATAAACTGAATTTCAGCAGTTATATCTTTTTAAAGTAGTAATCTGTTAGAATAGGCCTAGATCTCTATATCAGTATATCTCAAACAATTTTCCTTGTTATCTAGCGGTCGAGGTCTGAGTGAACACGCGCGTTAGAACACTAATTAATATTGTGAGTATTCACAACTGTCGTATTGCTTTAAATATGTCACTGTTTAATGCTTTTATTTCTAATGTTCACAATCGTCACATTACATCGGCCTCAAAATTATTTTTACTATATCAAGAAAAAATAATTATATTCGTGTTGTAGAGGGGGGGGGGGGGGGGGAAGGAGGGAACCACACCCCGAGTTACCTTACCGGGTTACACCCGACCTAGATCTATAGTGACACCACTGTGTTGTCACTGTAGGGGATGCTCGTTTTAAACACACGTCAATTCGTTTATGGATGACACTATTATAGCATCTAGATCTATATCACAATCCACAATTACACTGTAATTTAGTCTTCTTATATCTTATACTGACTTAGATTTATATGATTCTAGGCTTAATAATACATCTGTAAAATTAAAAAAAAAAGCCTGCTAATATTGTATAGGTTAGTTTTAAGGAATAATATTTAGACTACTAGACTAATAACTAATTAATTAATTAAGTAACTACAAAACTAAGTTTATAAAAAAAAATAATTTGACTAATCCAATTTCTATTTCTTTTCGATTTAATAAAATGAATAATTTCTTCATTTTTTATTTCGATATTTTAAAAGAACATGTCTCTGTGGTTGCATTAAAAATTGAAATCTCAGGCAAAAGCGTCGACGGAAGCAAGGCTTACTGTTTGGTGTCTTTAAACTTAAACTAGATCAAGAGTTTAGATTCTACCTCAGTTGACATATTTCGAAATAAAACCTACAATGTCCGGCAGAGAAGGTAAAAACTAAAGAGATTGACGATTTTAAAAGATAAGGAATGAAGATCTAGAGTCTAGAGTCTAGAGTAAATAAAAATAAATAGAATCGACCTGATTCAACCTTACTGTCTGCCTGGTCTGATTAACATTCAATCAAAATTCAAATGAAAATAACATCATTCTGAGAGTGAGAGCTAGATTCTAGACTAGATCTAGATTCTGGATCTAGAATCTAGATAGATCTAGATCTAGAGATCTTGATTCTCTAGAATAGAATCGATCCAGATCTAATCAATCTTGATCTCGATAAAATCATAATCACTAGATTAGCGAGGCTCACTAACTTGAAAGCGTCCTTGGTTGCTAACCAGAACATGGCTACCTCACCTTAGCCTACGATTGGGCAATTTTTTCTGCTATGTTCGAGAGACCACCTTAACATTAAGTTTAAAAATAATTATCACGCGAAAAATGGCGTTTTTTTTCTCGTATTTTAAGCTATCTGAAGATGACAAACCTATTTTTCGCAGAATTTTTTTTTAAAAATTTGCTTCCGACCATGGAGGTCAAACGTAAACATGGGTATAGTTTGAGTTGTTTAAAAACTTTAAATAAAGGACTGTTAGTAGTTTTTCTTACTATATGTGAAATCTACTCAATTCTCAATTTAAACATGACAACTGAATAAAAAACGTCCATACTTTATCCTCTAGGCACTAATTTTGGGGGTTGTAGCGAGTTTAGACTAAATTATTGAATTTTAAATTTTTTTGTCACTCACAGCTATGATATGACGGATCATCCATGACAACCTGGTTAAAAGTTGAAAGGTTTAACTTTTTAAGTGACCGTGAAATAGATCTATTTTTTTTTCACAAGAGAGTTCCTAAAAGTAGAATTGGCCCGTCTATCGTCGGGATATATTTATAGAGGAAAAACATTTAAGAGAATGTCATCAGAAAAGAATTAAAAAAAAGACAAGACAGAAGTGATGTTTGAATTCTTTTATTTCTTTAATTTTATAACATTTTTTATTGTATAAAAGAGCAAAATAAAAAACCATGCCAGGTAAACGTATCCATTCAAATAGCGGTCACGTGGTCAAAAAAAATTAAAAAATTTGGTTGTCATTTTTTGGTCGATCTTATAAAAAAAAGGGTTGACGATATTTGATTTATTTTTTCATAGACTGATAAAACTAATAATGCTTTACTATGGAAATCAATTTTGTGATATGGAGATCTATATTTAAAAAGTTATATTATTTTGAATGACACCGACTTTAAATTTAGCCTACATTCCCCAAAGCAATTTTTGAAAATGCTTTTCTGGCATATTTAGCCTTGCCACCTATAGCATGTTTTTATAACGTGAAAACCCACCATTTTACTCGTGATAAACATTTTTAAAAGTAATTCTAAGAAGGTCTCTGGAACTAAGTCGAAAAACTCGCCGGAAGTCATGGTCCGATCCTTACGCCATGTTCTGGTTAGCAACCAAGGACGCTTTCAAGTTAGTGAACCTCGCTAACTGTTAGGTGTCTAAATGGCACTGTAAGGTAGGGTATTATTAGATTGATCGTTTAGTGAAACAAGTAATTAAAAAAAGTCTAGTGACAATTTTAGCGCAATTTCCTTGTGTTATCTAAAAATAGCTCTGTCGTAGCGTAAATCAAGAGCATGGTTAGTAAAACCATTGGTTAGTTATTAAAACGTTTTTTATTAATTTTTTTTTCAGTATTTTACATGTTTTATTTACAATAGAGTAACATGACTAAAAACCATTGCGCGCCCAGCTACCGAACGTGACGTCGCAGCCATTGAACGTGATGGCGCAGCTATTGAATGTGATGACGCGTGTGGTGTGGTTGCATAAAATGCCTACTAATTCGGTCCAAATTCTAATTAATTCAAAATTTTTTTTGTGACCAAACGAAAGGATATTTTTGAAAACTTTCTTCGGCAATATTGTTCTAAATTATGGCAGAAATCGATTGGTACATGTTTTAAGTCACTAAGTGGTCTGGTTGCCGAGATATGGGCCAAAAACTGCATTTTTTCGAGGTTTTTTGGCTTTTTCGGGAAATCCATGAAAGAAACCCGGAATTTTTATGGCCTATGTTCATCCTCGTAACTTGCTTAACATAATTGCTTTTGGAACTAGTCCTCGATATTGCTTCGTTGAGGAGGAGATACGACTTAAAGCTGCGGACACACATCCATCCATCCATCCATCCATCCATTCATTCCCAGAAAAGACGAGTTAATAAACGCAATTCTCCAGAATGGAAATTGCGCTAAAAAAAATGCAATTATTATGTGCCGATTTTAAGAAATCGGCCTCCTAAAAAGGTCACTGAAAGCACGTAATTTTTTATTGTGACGTCATCGCTATTGTTACGGAAGCTGTACAGTAGTATCCTCGCTGCTTATATAATTGTGTTTTCTTTTCACTTGACACTCTTTTTCAGCTTATTTTGCTAGCGTAATTAGACTAATTAAGCCTAATTATGGATATTTCACCTGGCTTTTGGATTATACTATGACTCTAAAAGCCCTTAAACCACGACGATCTGTTATTTTTTTAATTTTTTTTTGTTGATCCCTGGAATTAGATCTAGTAGTGAGCGTTGGTCTTTGTGTTATTTACATTTAGGCCTAATTATTTGTTTTCAAATTTGTTATAGCTTAATTAATTTGTCTTAATTCTTATTGATTTAATAAATTTTAATTAGGCTAATTATAATATTATTTTCACTGGTCTTCGTTGATACATTGATTAGGCTTAATAATGTTAATATTATTACGATTTTAGAGGCCTGATAAATTAAATAATTTTAGCGTTGGGTCTAAGTTTACAGTACTAATTATTACTTAGTAAACCAAGTACGCATGAACTAGGACATGTGTGTGCTGTGCCCGTGCTGTGGCGGGCGATGCCTCTCTCGCTGACAAACCAGCGCGAGCGAGCGAGTCGTGTGTCACACTTGGTCTGTGTCGATGTTTGGAATGCATAGGCATAGGCCTAATTCTCGCTCTCGGGGTAATAAATTTGTATGCGCTGACATTTGAACAATCAAATAGACACACATCTTAATTAAATACATTTAATGTGAACTTTATATTAATCTAGACCTACAATACTAATTATAACTTGGGATAACAAAGTACTTGGACTAGATTTAGCGCATGCTCACACTGTGCTGTGAGTTTTCTCTCGCTGGTTGACAAAAGAACGCAGGCGGGCTGGCGATGTTTGTAATTTGCATATATCTTCGCTCACAGGCGATCATTTTAATGTGATTGGCCTCTTTTTATTTTATAGGCCTGATTAATTGTATTTGATAGGCTAACTTTTCTGGTTGACAAAACTACGCGAGCGAGATGTCCGCCACGCTAACTTTATCAATTTTAATGCTATTGCAGATTTAAAAAAAAAAAAAATCAAATACTTACAAATCTTAACAATATTTTAAACTGAGCATCGGCGAAACTTTGTGAATAACACACCTGTCCCAAGTCCAGTGAGAGAGGAGGGTTAGATTCATTTTACAATGACATCTCTAGAATTTTATAAATTGCCCTGATTAAGCATTGCTAAAACACTTACACTAGTTAATAAAACATGCATGGGATAGAATATCTTTAAAAAGTTTAGATCTATTCTATATTCTTAAACATATTTTATTGACGCATATTTGTCATCAAATTCATTAATCTGGGTTTAGTTTTCCTTTTTAAACATCCTTCCATTAAAAAAAAAAGGAAATCTAATATTTTTAAAAATGTAGATCTAGATCTAATTCCATCTTGTGATTTTTATTCTGACGAAGACAGTGTCCATACGAATAGAAATGTGGTAATAAAATCAAATGTACTGTGCATATTCTGCTAAAATCAAATCAGCTGCAAGGTCAACCATGCAGAGTTCTTCTCTTCAGATAGGCATATGGTTGTCACGGATTGTTTGGCTTGCAATGCAGGGAGTGGCCAATTAATAAAAATCAGTAATTAAGCTCCAAATGAGTTTATTGTCAACAAATTAAGTATTTGATTGATTAGAGATTGATCTCTAGTTTTCATTGGTAATGTTTAAATTGAAAAATAACGAAATTTAAAATTAGTGAGTATCCCTACACTAGATCTAGGCCTAGATCTAGATCCTGAACTTGCTAGAATCAGTATCCAAGCAGTACAACTCATCATTACTCAGTTCTCATTTCAATCTAGTTTTCAATTATTTTGAAATATTGTCATAGGCCTACACTTATAATTTATAATATAACAATTAATAATACTACCTGAGGGGGGGGGGGGAATGGTTCGAATGAAAGCACTGCTATTCTAGCAAAATGTTGGGTGTTGGTAAATTGTGAGACATGGAATAGTGAGGCGGTATATTGTGAAAAGAAAATGCCAGACATACCTGCAGAATCATTAGTGAATAGCGAGACAAAATTTGCATGACATTTTTTTTTATTCTTGCTTTTGGTGGTATGTTTTTCTCCAGATGTACGAAAAGAAAAGTTATAAATTACATAAGTAGATATATCACAAGTGATGAATGTTGTCCTTTTTAAAAAAAAATTGCTTGATCTAGTTTTGATTTTTTTAATATTAAAAAACCTTAACATCTTTGCTCCTATGATCGTCGCTCATGTTTTCTTGTCAGCTGGATAAAAATCCTGTCTCAGTCGACATGTGCGTTTGAGTACATAAAGAGAAAGACTATATTTTTAAAAATCTATATCTAGATCTATATTTAAAAATCTGAACATTGTCGCCCACTTCTAGCCGCTCATGTTTTCTTGTCTGCGCAAGAGGGGTCACAGTCAATGCATCTAAAAACTTTAACATAGGACATAGCCTGAGCAATAGGGCCTAGCAATATGACAAATGTGCTTGGGGTCATTGTGACTTAAACAATACAAAGTGTTAAAGATTTGAAGGTCAATATCTTCTGATCTTGTAGAAAGCATATAATAGTAAATATTAAAAAAGTGTAGGCCTATTTTTTTTTTCAAGTATTTTTAATTATAAACATTTTTAAAAATCAACAAAATTGAGAAGAAAATATAAATCGTAGGTGCCGGCAATAATGCAAACTTTTTTTGCAACAATTCAAATGTTTGCGGTGGTAGTGGCTTCGAGCACAGTGATGCCCTAAAAGCAATTTGTCAAGTGGCTATGGAGTTCCACAAAAAAAAAGTTGAAAAAAATCATCAGCATGTCAACAATACAATGGAAACATCTTAAAAGTTCATTGTAAATCGAATGCAGTATAATCTTTGCAGTCTTGGATTTTACACCCACAAAGTACAAGTATTGGGTGGGGGTAAGAAGCCAGACAAAAATGTTATGTCACCTGTGGTTCTTGCACCCTTTTCGCAATTTACTGCCTCGCCATTAATAATTGGTAACACAACATGATTTACAAAAAAAGTATTTGTGAAGCTTTGAGTAGTACTGTTATTACGTAACAATTGATGTTTTTCTAATGGGAAAATATTTTAGTTTCTATATTTGTGTTTGTAGTTCTCAAATTTTCAATACTGGCACCAAGAGTTGTAAGCACATATACCTTGTTCTTTCAAATCACTAGCATCACTTGAAATTTCTTGTATTAAAAAAAAACTCAGTGTTTTAAAATTCTGTTTTCAGGTGGTAAAAAGAAGCCTTTAAAGCAGCCCAAGAAAGGCAAAGATGAGATGGATGAGGTTAGAAAATTTATGATCAAAAATGCAGTTTTTTGTTATATTTAGAAATTTTAAAGTAATATTACTAAAATAGTGTTTACCAAGTATATTTTTTTATTCAAAATAGGAAGATATGGCCTTCAAACAAAAACAAAAGGAAGAACAGAAAGCTTTGAAAGAAGCTGCTGCCAAAGCTGCAGGAAAAGGACCTTTAAGTAAGTTGTTTCAGACAATAATAAATATATTTTCAAAATATTTAACCCTTTACAGTCCTACGTGCCTGCGGTCACCCAAGAATTTTTTTGGTTGTTACAGTCCAGTGAGACTGCGAGATTTTGCAGATAGTGGCGGATGAAGAAAATATAATGTTTTCTTAATGTTGTTTTCTTGTTGCTCTATCACAAGTAGTTCATTATCTACAATTTTTCTTAAATTTCTTTTTCAAAATTATGAGCAATATAAATAGCAAAATTAAATCTAATTAAAATATCTCTGCCTTTATTTATAATGTAACTAGTACTGTGATATTGTAAAAGTAACTTAGTAAGTAGCTCCAGTGACTATATTGAAATAGTTTTTTGCATTTAAAATAAAATTTTATAGAAATAATATAATTATTAGAAGTATTATTTTGTTAACGTTTCTCAGGGACTAATGTAATTTTTATTTATTAATAGTAAACTATTGCTAATGAACCTCATATATAATCAGCCTGCTTGAATGGTTTTGGCCGTAATTTTACGATTTTGACACCCAGGTTACGGAACTATGATTATGCTGCAAAGGTTACACTTTTGCCTTCTGTAGAAATCAAAATTGAATTGGGTCGACCTTTTTTTTGTGTGTTGTAAAACGTAATATTCCCGGTCGAGTTTTACTTTTAGACTAGATTTTGACTATATTTAGCTAGTTAAAATTTCAGCTGTGTTATCCCGCTCGATTGTTTCAAGCATCTTCTGTAACAATCCCCTCCCCTCCCGCCAATGTCATGTTGGGCGGTAGTCGTTGGGTCTATGTTGTGAACTTTATTAACTCCGAGAATGGTCTGTGGTCTTGCCTTGATCATTGGAAGTCTGGTTTCACATGGAAAATATCTAATAAAATTAAACCTACAACTAGATCTACTTAGTTTTCAAGAAAAATAGTCTAAAGTTTAAATCATAAAATAATAAATTATTCAAGCGTAGGTTTATATTCATTTTATGAAAATGATCTGGGTGTGGGTAAAATGCGAGACATAGTTGCGGTGGAATTACAGGTAAAAATAGCGAGACATAATTTATTGAGGCATGTTGTTTGAGATGTGCGTGAAGAAAAGTTTTTACTAAACAAGATCTAGGCCCATCTAGATCAATCACAGATCATATTTTAAAAAAAAATAACCCTTTCTTCTAGATATTACCTAGATAAAAGCTAGATTTAAAAAAATTCAACAAGAAATATGCTTAATCTAAAAATTGTCACCCGTGTCATTGGCCTCTCACGTTTTTAGTGAGATGGAAAAGATCCTGGTCGAGGGGTCACTGAGTTCACATTGGTTTAGATATCGGTAGTGTAGACCTATAGCATACGTGATACTACTCATAGCAAGAACAATTCCTATTTGAGATTTTCCACTATATGCTTACAGGCTGAGTTTCACGTTTTTTTTTTAAATTAGTCAATTTCTTTAAAATAAACATTTCAAGCAATTTATTTACTTTGTCCTAGGTACTACATATCAGAAACTTAGAAAACACTACAAAGACTAGTGTAAGAACTATAAAAATTAAATTTGCTTGAGAGACGTATTGATTTTTATTCTTTATTTTGTTAATTGTAAACATTCAATTTTTCAGCATCTGGTGGTATAAAGAAATCTGGAAAAAAATGACCCATCGCTAATGTCTGAGTTGTCATCATTTTCTCCTTGTTCATACTGTCATTTTTAAGTTCAGAGCACCATTGGATTTGATATATTTAAGGTTGTTTCAATATGCATAAATAAATGAAATTTACACACATAGGATTTTGTTGTTGTTTTTCAGTTGGACATAGATATTGTTTAAAAATATTCAAATAACAAATTGGATTTTGAAAATTTTTATTTTTATTTTAAACAACACATTCATGTTTGATTAAAGTGAAGTAAAAAACTTGTTAACAAAATCAACATCCTTACACCATATATACATCTGGTGCAAGATTCAAGTGTTAATAGTATAGTTAAATTTCATCCAGTTATCACTATTTCTAGATAAATTTCAACACATTTTAAAAGTATGCAGATCTATACACTATACATAAAAATGTTGCAACATTAGAAACACTGTCGTTTTATTTACAATATTTATCTATCAAGTCCTCAGCATTTATTTTAATTCTTTTTTCTGCCTCTCTTGTTATGTCTTCGACTCCTGAAGAAAAATTTAATAATTGGGCACTAATAGCCAACATCCAAATATGTTAAAACTCTAACATAAAATAAAAGTAATACACAAAATTAAAAAAAAAATTTCATCACCTCCATTTACTCCATATTGAATAATAGAAATATGTTTACTTACGAAATAATTTCAACATGATCAATGGCCCACTGATCAAAACCATGACCATCATGCACTGGCTGCCACCACCTGAACTGCACACCAACTTCTTTAGCTGCTTGAGGGATGTCATAAGCAACTCGCTTTGGTCTCAAGAAATCTATGGGATCATGTTGAGCTAAAAGATACCATTCTGCACCCTGTTAAAAGAAATTTTTTTTAGTATTTTAATTTAATCACTCTTAAAAAATGGTTTTAACAACAGTATTTACATTTACAAAATTTCAAAAGTAATAAAATTTAATAAAATTAAGCTGGACATCATTAGGAGTAGACACTTATGAATGCTGTGAGAACATACCTTGTTCTTAGAGTATTGCAGTAAGACACCTCTATATTTTGGGCCCTCTCCTAACTGTACATTACAGTTGTCTGTCTGAGCAGTACAACCTATCTGTATTACAAAGATGATTTTTCTGGAGAAGACACATAAAGACATTTTTTAAAACCAAAATTAAATTGTGTAGATAAGTGTAACCAGAATTGTAGTAGAACTTGAGATATATTGCAGAAGTTAATTAAGTAATATAATTTTCCCTATTCTTTTTATTCTTTCATTGCATGATTAATATGTAAAATAAGAGCACTATTCGGTACACATCAATTAAATAAAAACTTAATTTACACCGGAGCTGTTTTGCAGAAATTATTAAATGAAGGGATAATAACAGTGCCACTCCATACATAGCTATTCAATCAATGGAAGATTTGCATCATTATCAAGTCTTAACAGACACTAATGACAACACTTTTCCTCACATAGCATCTGATGTATCCAGTTCAGCAGTGATGGCCTGCCTCTCACCACACCCATTAAAGTAGAGAGTTTTCCCATGGGCGTAAGGCAACAAGGCCCCACAACCAAACCCAATTCCTCCACCAGAAATTGTTTGCCAGTGGGATGTGAATATTCCTCCCTCAAATGAGTCAAACAGACGAGTCAATAATCTGTTGGCGTTTGGTAAACAGTTTGGACCTGGAACACATACATTTCATTTGACTTTGAAAGGAAAATCATTCAGAATAATTATCAATTATTATGTAATCACAAATATTTTCTATGTTGATAAAGTTGACTGATCATTTTGGATATTGTAATCTGACACAGTTCATACAAACTTAAATTTCATTTTTTTGGTAAATTACTTATTAGGATATGTTACTCTATATCCTAGCCATATGATAAGACCTACCTATGTAATTTTCATCACAGTGACAAACTCCTTGAATACAGTCCCCTCTGCCACTGCACATATCTTCACACCTCTCACCAATATAAATATCATCCAAAGCCCAAGCTGAGCTGCTATTTTTTCCTTCTTGAATCCATCGAAACTGTGTTGTGCTACAATAGAACATGTTTTCAAATGAGAAATAATATTTTAAAACTGGGGATGAAAATATTTAAAACAAAGAAAAAAAAATCCTAATATTACTATAAATACCTAACCTGGCTAATATAGAATCCATAAAATAAGTACTAAGGTACATAAATAACATAAACAAAATTTAAATAATTAACTCACAAATAAGATAACATTTACCTTCATGATATTTGAAAAATGTGTACTTAGAAAGTTCAATAAACACTTACAATATATAAATAATGCTGTACACTATAATAGTCATGAGATTAATACCTTGAAAAAGTAACCTCTGAGAGAGGGATTGTAATCCTTGTCCAAACTGGCACTTGTGACACATTGTAGTAACTGGCATGATGGTGGCTGTGTGGGTTACACAAGCCACCATTTTGACTGCCTGGAAGACAAGATGGCTGTACAGGCTCCCAGAGTTCTGTGCTTGGGTTCCTTCTAAATTCCAACTTGATTTTACTGTCTGGAGCTGTGCAAACATCTTCAAACTTTCCACAGCCTATTATTATCTAAACGATGAATAAATACAGATATACTTAGTCTTATGTCATTTAATTAGTCATTAAATGACCAAGAGATGTATTATAAATAACGTCTGTTAATTTAAGTGCCAGTTAAAAATTATGCAACATTGAATTTTTTAATGAAATTAAACCATAGCTAAAATGGGATTATACTATTTTAGGCTAATTAAAGGTAATATTTGGATTTCAAAGAAATTATAATTATTTGAAGTTTATATATGTACTATGCACTAAAAAAGAATTGCTCAAATTGCAAGAATTGCTTAAATATTTTAATATAAAAAAATATCAAAGGTAGTTGAGAAATAAATATTGATCTAAAAAAAACTTTTTTTAAAGTATAATATATTCATCAATTTTTTTCTAAGTAGCCTATGTGTATTAAAGCATGATTGGTGTGTAATAAACAAATAACATTTTTTTTTTACCTTAAACTGAAGCATGTACCCAGGCTGAACAATCAACTGGTTGGTTGTGAACTTCTGCATTTGGTGTCCACTGTCCTTGTTAACATGATCTGGCCACACCATCGCTGACCCGCTCTGTCCTTCAACCAGGCACTCCCCTCCATCTCCCTCTATGACACCGTTTGGACTAAACTCCCACCCTGAAGGGTCATCATTGACCGCTGGCTCATCCTCAAAAGACTGGCTGTACTCACTGGGGTTGATCTCCTTGCCCCCAATGAAAACATCATCAATGGCCCAGTGGACACGAGGGGATGTCATGGGTGGGGTTTCAGCCTGCACCCAGCGCACCACAGTGTTGTTGGTTCTAGCTGCAGTTGGTAGGGATATGTAGTCATTTCTGGATGGCCAGTACCTTATGGGGGATAGTTTGTGCAAAGTCTGCCAACTAACACCTGTATGATAAAGCAAAGAAGCTGATTGAAGATTTAGAAGCAGACATAACTATGAGGTTTCTAATTGACAAAATATTGCAATAACACTACAGTTTATAATGCAAGTCATAAGGGAGTTAAATAATATCAATTAAAATAACTAATAAATAGCTAATTATAGTGGCAATGATTACTATAAGTCTCACTATCATCAGCAATTTAGATATTGAAATGGTGCCTTAAGTTGCTTTTTAATATAATAAATGAAATAGACTTACCACCATCGTTAGAGAACTGTAGGAAGACACTTTGAACTTTGTGATCAGGAGGTTGACTACATAGGTTGTACACACTGTCCTTGCTCCACATGAAAGCTGTGTACTGGATGAACCTGAGATGTGACAGGTGAACCTTTAGCTCACAGATTTTTATACATCTTTAGCTCACACATTTTATCCATCATACAAGGTCTACTGACAAATTAGAATGTTATCCTGGTGACTAATTACAGCAGAGGTCACCTGCTACTTATTCCTCAGCATATTTAAAAATTGTATGATGAGCACTTTGTCAACCTAATCTTTACTCCCTTTGACTAAAGTCATGTACATTAAGACTGAGTGGATTAAGTTACACCCGATAGACTTAACCAGGCACTTAAAGATTAACAATAATGAGTTATATCTCTTGACCATGCCACTCTATAAGCATAAGCCTTTCTTTAAAGCTAGTGATTTTTTATAAAAACAAAAAGCTAAAAATAAAAGTATTGAAGTGATCTTACCTAGCATCTCTGAGATCAAGACTTGCGGTGACTATCTCCCTCGCACCAGGGCCGTTAAACACAAGAGCTGGGCCATGGACTAATGTTTTACATGGAGTCTGTACATGGCCACCTTGGGCCCAGGGCCATTTAGTAGCATTTAAGTTATCTACTTTATCAAAAGTGTCTTTTAATTGTATCTATGGAAGTAGATAAAAAAATTAAAAAAAATAAAAAGTTAAAAAGATAATTCTTATTAAACTTGAAATATTATCTTCTTAAATGGGTATAACAGCTAAAACAATAGTCTTAATCTAGCAGATTGCAGTAGGATATAGTATAGTGCATTGCTAACACCCATGTTGCAGATGTTAGATAACTCAATTCTAACAAGTTAAAGAAAACAAGACATTTATTTGATATTTCTCATGTTATTATACATAATCTATGGTTAGCTTTTATTCTATGTGACAAGAAGACATGCAATCAATAAGGTACTGACTGGTACTTCATGAGGCTCAGATTGTGAGCAGTCATCCCCACTGTAGCCCCCATCACACACACACTGCTCCATCAGACAGTAGCCATGACCACTGCAGGACCTTGGGCAGGACGGCCCAATGTAAATATCTGCCAAGGCCGAGTCTTGTGAGTCTGGCATACCATCAGGCAGCTGCTGCCAACGAAACCTGGTTCCACTGGATAGAAAAATATTTATTTGAAATTTTTTTTAAATGGGTATAAAAATAAATATATTAAAAATCCACTGGGTATAAAAATAAATATATTAAAAATCCACTGGGCATAATAATAAATATATTAAAAATCCACTGAGTATAGAAATAATGATATTAAAAATCCACTGAGTATAGAAATAATGATATTAAAAATCCTCTGAGTATAGAAATAATGATATTAAAAACATTATGTTGACTGACAGGATGTTTTCAAACGAATTTTTTTACTAGTACTGCTATTTCGACCCTGGACAAAAGTCTAACTGAATTTCATGGCAGAAATACTGTAAAAAGCTATAATACTCTTTTAACATTTCCATAGAAATCCAAATTTAATTAAAACAAAAAAACAACCCGACTATATTCATACTGTCTTGCTTATTATGTTTTTGGAAGAACAAGAAAAAGCTAGATTAAAAAGCCTTGCTACTGCTTTGCTGGTGTTCTGAAAATCTACAAAATCTTGATTAAAACAGCACTCTTAACTGTACAAAAACATTAGATATAAGCAAATAAAAATGAATGACACTGTGTACATACTTAGAAACAGGAAGACCATGTAAGGGGAGGACAATCCTCCGCCAGTTGTCATGGACACTGTGATAATGTGAGGCAGCAATACTAGAATGTGGCTGGCACAGTTTGTCCTCAAAGCACAGGGAAACCAAATCTACCCATGTCATACCATGGTCAGTGGAGTACTCTACATTCACCTGAGATAAAGTGAGGTTCTTTTTCAGTATGGAAATACATAATTTGTATTACATAAAATTTACATGAAAGAATAGTTTACCAATGATATAAAACATCAAAGAGAAAGATCTCAGGCTATTTTGTACTTATGTGATAAATGAGGCAAAGGATGGGGAGTAAAAGAAATGTTGGTAGAAAGTGTTTTTTGTTTCTTAAAAACTAAACTGATAAAAAAACATGTCATGTGATTTTAGAACTGATTATTTTATGTGGGAGAATAAAAATGGAAATTTATGAGATCATTTTAAAGGGAGGGGAAGTTCTGGCTTTTTGTGAAAACATGTAGTGATAAGGAGTAAGGGGGGGGGGGGGAGTAGTTTAAAGTTTGGTGAAGTTATACATTTACGTATGAACCTAACAGCACTTAGGTAAGTTCAAATGTTCAATTGGTCTTCAAACCTACAGTGTGAAATAAGATTTTCTACTTACAGGTCTTATGCTAACATTCCAAGGTTTTCCACAGCCCACGTTGATAGAAAACTGCAGCACATGTTTGTCGCTGGTCTTCACATCTCTAGAGGAGAGTGTGGAGGGTTCATAAGCTTTTGTTCTCCCCACAGCAACTCCCTCCTTCCAGCAGTACTTGCCTACAGCCATGTTGTCAGCTGTCACCAGGTCTAAGAACTCAAAGCCCGAGGTGAAGTTTATTGAGACGTGCGCTGGGTTGATCTCTTCACCGTTAATTCTGATTCCGTCAATTAGCCAGTCAGCTATTTTTTGTTTCCCATTTTGGGGCTGCCACCATCGCAGCTGGGTGCCTTCTTTCCTCGCCCCCTCTGGTATTTTCAGGCTCACAAACCTAAAGAAATGAAATTATAAATTGCTTAGAACTAATGTGCAGCATAATATAAAACAAAATTAAATTATTTTAAATAAATGTCAAGAATAACAAAGAAAAATGTATTTAACTTAAGTCTGTATTCAATTTATGTTAAAAATGTTTTAATAACCTAACTCAGTAGGCAATGCTCTTAACAAGACAGACCACAACAGCATAAATAATAAAGCATTTTTTGTATCAACATACTTCTACCACTAGACCACACCATCCCACTAAGGAGGCTTAGTCTAACCAAATCGCTTACCCTGAACCAAAAAAAATATATTCATAACAAGATTTTAAGTTTCATTTTTTTCACCTGATGCCTTGGTGGATTTAAAAAAAAATGGTGTTTGAACCTAGACATAATTTGAAATAGAGTTAGGAAAGTCTGGTTCTAAGAAAGCGCTATATAAAGTGTAATAAAGTTAGGCCTTAATGTTTTTTTATATTTTACCCTGGGGTTCTAAACAGATTGTAGTGCATCTCAGTGATGAAATGCCAGTCAATGCCTCCATTAGTTGAGTACTCCAGGATGACCCCTTCATCACGCTTGGTGGGGCTGTTCACACAGCCATACAAGAAATGGAATTGTATAAGCATGGCTGAACTCAGGTCTAGGGCTCTTGTGACCAGGAGACGAGAACATGGCTGTGTTACAAGAGAAATTATATTACAAGGCTGTGTTATAAGAGATGTTAAATTACATGGCTGTGTTATAAGAGAAATCATATCACACGGTTGTGTTATAAGAGAAATTATATTACATGGCTGTGTTACAGGAGAAATTATATTACATGGCTGTGTTATAAGAGAAATTATAACACATAGTTGTGTTACAAGAGAAATTATATTACATGGCTGTGTTATAAGAGAAATAAAATTACTTGGCTGTTTTACAAGAGAAATTATATTACAAGGCTGTGTTAGAAGAGAAATTATATTACATGGCTGTGTTATAAGAGAGATAAAATTACACGGCTGTGCTAAAAGAGTAATCAAATTTGTACCTTTTTGCAATTACTGTGATAATAACTATTTAGAATTTTAATGCAGATGAAGTAAGAGTAATGGCTGGATAGTAGATCTATATTGTACTGTTAAAAACTAACAAAATATAACCTGATTAAATGAAAAATTACTTCAATAATATTAATGTTATTTTCTCTAATAACTACTAAGTAATTTAATATTTTTCTAGTGGCAGATGAACTGGTCAGAACTGGTCAGAACTTGTCAGACCATGAAGCACGGTGTGAAGCAGTTACACTAAGAGACACAAAAATAAAATAGTTATTACAAACCCCAGTAAAGTGTAGAGCTTCCCCTGCAGACAACAACTGACACGGCTGGCTTGGTTTGCCACCTACAACCTTCACCCAATTGCTTGAGTTGTACCCAGACAAGAAGTCTTCAACAAGGAGGGCAGGTAGAGGAAAGTTGGGCTCTCTGCAGTCCAGACCACCCCAGTCTTCATCACACCTTAGGGAGAGAGAATAGAATAGAGGAACATAGAGGAACATAATAGAAGAACATAATAGGAGAACATAATAGAAGAACACAAGAACAGAATTGAAGAACATAATAGAAAAACATAATAAAAGAACATAATAGGAGATCATAATAGGAGAACATAATAGAAAAACACAAGAACATAATAGAAGAACATAAACGAAGAACATAATAGAAGAACATAATAGGAAAACATAATAGAAGAACAAAAGAACAGAATAGAAGAACAGAATAGAAGAACATAATAAAGAAGAACATAAGAACAGAAAAATAGAAGATTGGAATAGAAGAACAGAATGGAAGGAAGTGTGATCATCTTACAGATCCATAGTGTTTAAGCTACGAGCTGTAAAAAAAAAACATTGTTTAGTGACATACAGGCATTGACTCTCCATACATCTTCCATGACCTTGACATTTGCCAGGGCATGTGGCACCAACATACAAGTGCTGGACTGCCCAGTCTTGACCAGATATGTAGCCAGGGGCCTGATGTATACGGAATCTTGTTTGGGTTGACCTATAATTGCAAATGACAAGCAAATAAAAATTCAACAATAAAATAAGAAAAAAAAATTGAAAGGTTGATTAACATTTGCTTATCAAAAGACCACCAAATAGATTATTCAAAAAGTTAACACACAATACATTTGTTGCTGATTACATAGTATTACAAATATGTATATAAACAACAATTCTAGGATGGGACTTGTTTCTAAACTACATAAACAATGTATATTTAAATACTTTAATTATTAATGAATTACCAGGCAGGTTTAGGTATAGGCACACTAATCCTGTTCCAGCCAATGAAAGCATCAGATCTGAAGACACTGCTAGAATGGTAGTGCTCACATTCAACCATGGATGGCAGGCAGGGAGACTTAAGTAGCTGCCAGCTGTTGCCCATGTCCAGGCTGTACTCCAAAGTCAACTCTGGAGCAAGTAGGTTTTGTGTGAGGAAATGAAATATTTACGTAGTTGTACTTGTCCGCACTATACTCTAAAGTTACAGGTAACAGGTAAGTTTTGTGTGAAGAAACCTAATAATTACGTAATTGTGCATGTCCACACTAATCTAAGTTACATGTGAAGCAGGTAAGTTTTGTGTGAAGAAACCTAATAATTACGTAATTGTGCATTGCATATCCACACTAATCTAAGTTACATGTGAAGCAGGTAAGTTTTGTGTGAGGAAACCTAATAATTACGTAATTGTGCATGTCCACACTAATCTAAGTTACATGTGAAGCAGGTAAGTTTTGTGTGAGGAAACCAAATAATTACTTAATTGTGCTTGTCCACACTGTACTCTAAAGTTACAGGTAACAGGTAAGTTTTGTGTGAGGAAACCTAATAATTACGTAATTGTGCATTGCATGTCCACACTAATCTAAGTTACATGTGAAGCAGGTAAGTTTTGTGTGAGGAAACCAAATAATTACTTAATTGTGCTTGTCCACATTGTACTCTAAAGTTATAGTTAACAGGTAAGTTTTGTGTGAGGAAACCTAATAATTACTTAATTGTGCTTGTCCACATTGTACTCTAAAATTGCAGGTAACAGGTAAGTTTTGTGTGAGAAAAGAAAATAATTATGTAATGTGGAAATTCACACTGTACTATAAAGTAAATATAGTGTGAGAGAGAAAAAGAGGACAATTGTAATTAGCATGCCCAACTTGTAGGCCTACTCTATTGTTTACCAAGGTAAAAGCACGTCCTGAAAGATGATATAATTACCCATATCTCAACCGTTAAATCTGAAGCGCTAACTATTCCAGTAAGAGAGCAGAAACAATTATTTGAAAGTTTATTTTATGATGAAGTTGGTGGCTAAATGGTGACACAAGACTTACCAAAACAAGGTTGATCTGTATTTTTAGCCGAGTCACAACCCATCAGCAACTCAAACTGTATGACACTGCCTTCCCCTACCATCACGTCTGCAGTGCTGGCATACCTTTCATATTCTTTGTCTAAAAATATTACATTTCATTATTAATTTCATTTTCTATTTATAAAAAACTGTTATTTACAGGTAATAAAGGGGTTGTGTAATACCAGGCTGTCTATATTTTCCTATCTAAATTAGATGCCCATCAAGGATATCACAGGGCTTTAGCTTGATGAGCAGTTTCAGAAGGGAATCTAAATTTTTAGAAAACCAACTACTCCCGTGAACTACTTTAATAGTGTATCAAATTTAAAACTTAAACATAATTGTCTTTTGTTAGAATAATATGAATTAATAATAAAATCTGTTGGCCGAAGCATATTTTTTAAAGTTATTACAATAAACTAGTTTATGATGATAAGTTAAATGAATGCCTAATGCACAATAAAGCTGAAAATCACCTCTGAAATGTAAAGCAACATCATCAGACCCACAAACTGGCTCAACCCTTGCCCCAGGACTTTCTAGCCAAGTTGTATTCAGTAGTTCACTTGGGTCATCTTGCAAAACTTCCTGGCCAAACATGTTCCCACCTATATAGATCTGCCAGTTTGATCATACAATTTGACATTAGTGACAGTTAAATAGTCATGAATATTATGTAAATAAAATGATTTAATAATCATTTTATTGATTTATTTAAAAGTTGTTTTAGTCATGATGTAGGTCTGACTATGTTATTGATATATTATAATGTATTTAAAAATCTTAATAAACTTTAAACTTACAGAAGTATAATTTTTGTATTACATCACAAAATAAAACATACCTGATCTATAGCCCAGTCCTCTTCATAATTGCCATCTTTAGATGGCTGCCACCAACGTATCTGTGTGGCACCAGTCAGGGCCCCCTCAGGTATGTGTACAGCGATATACTCAGGCTTGTTGCTCTCTGGGTTGAAGTCAAACTGCTCCAGGGTGGTCCACTTGATGCCTCCGTTGGTTGAGTACTGGAGGAAGACTGGGGGAGTCTCTCTGTTGACTGTTTTGTTACAGCCCAGCTTCAGGTAAAACTGGATGATGCTGAAACACAGATGACATCAATAGTCTTGTGGCAGCATCACGTGAGCTATATTTTTTTATCAATATCACTAAAAACATTGTTTTGGAAAATTTAAAAAATCAAGTATTTTTTTTTTAAAAAGTGCTTCATTACATGTAAATTATTATTTTTTTAATTAGGTAGGCTCAACATTCACAATAATTATTGTCTGCATCCATTTTTAAACATTTATGTTTTCATTATATGTTTTCACTGATAAATTATGGTAAACTTCTAAATGGATCTTATTGATGACATTTAAAATAAATCCTATATTTTATAATGTGTACAACATGTTTGCTGCTTACTTTGCTCTTGACAAATCCAGAGGTACAGTTGTCAATGTACGTTGTCCATTTTTGCTTTGTACTAAGTTTGCATCTGTGAACACTTTACCACAGTTGTGGCGATTGGTCACATGTCCTCCTGACCAGAATTGCCAGTTGTCTTCATTCACCTTTTGTTTGGCTGGAAGAATTTTAAGATAAACATTTTACACACAAAAAAATCTATGTGAAATGTTCTATCATGTAAGCCAATAGTATAATTATTATTTTTTTTTTTTGTAAAATTATTTTAAGTAGGTTATTAAAACCCTACTGGAACTAGTTTATACAGGTAACTTGTCTGCAAATTTACAGAATTTGACAATTTAAAAACAAAGTTGCGTACAAGGTTAATAATATAAAGTTTACGGTTAAGAAATAACAATCATGTATTCAGGTAATTATATGCCAACTCTATTCAAGATTAAAGATGATAAACAATTACTGCATAACCTGATCTCTACATTTAATAATTAAAGTACCCCTAATATTAACATCACTAAGTTTGCCTAGCAGCTAAAAAGTACAGGCTACTTAAGTTCATCAAGCAAAATAAGTTCACTCCCTATATACATTATTATGTATGTTTGTTTGCCTAGCAACAACAAATTTCTATTTCCATGGGTAGTTTCTCTCGCAACTATAAAGAATTCTTACTGTCTTTCTTGGAGGTGGGAAGCAGGTACTCCACTTTTGGCTTGCTGCTCTCCACCCCATTGAAGTCATCTTTCAGGTAGGAAGGGTTGGGAGTCTCTACATCACATGTTGCACCTGAGTAGCCAGGATCACACTGGCACATCATGCCACCTGGAACATACAATACAGTTATAAAACTATTATAACATTACTAGCCGTTGGTACATGTTACACGTGAATTATAGGCCATAATATTTCAGTCATACTCGTTTGAGAAAAATTATAGTATAAAATAGTTTTTATTTTCGTTAACATGAGTAAAGCACCCATAAGTGTCTGGATGTCCAATGAGCAATTTAAAACAGATTAGCTATACTACTAAAAAAACATTCTATACCAAAGCATGTGCCATGACCGTTGCAGTGGTCAGGGCAAGCCATTCCAATGTAAACATTGTCAAGGGCCCATTCAGGTCCAAAATCTGTATCAGGGATTTTGCCTTGATACCATCTGAACCTGACTGTGCTGAAATACAGAATTAAAAATATTTGTAAAAATTTCTTTTTTTTAATGTTTTAAGTGCATTGGTGTGACGATTTAAAAAAAAATTGTAATCATAAAAAGAAAAGTAAAAATAAAATACTCTTTTGAGATTAGAAAATCTTTAGTTGATGATTAATCTTTTTATATGAGCAATCAAACTTTACTTTCATTTGATTAAGTCAAGTAGGACTACCAAGTTGTAGAAGGCAATACATATTATCAAACTAGTAAGTGAGCTTCAAACTTTCCGTTTAACTATCTACTATTTCTCTTCTTGTTCATTTTTTATTGTTAAATTGGAGGAGATTTTCTTCAACACAATTAAGTATTACATGTCAACATTTTATGCCTATTATGGCTTTTGTTTCTAGATTTGCTTCCATAGCCTTTGTCCACCCAAGAACAAACTATAGGGGAGGAGTTGTTTGATATAGGAGTTTTTTTTCCTAGATGGGTTGCTGTCCCAAGCTAGCAAGCCTCATCTACCCCCAGGTCCAAACTCAAGACTTTTGGAGTTAGCTATCATGCGCACTCCTTACCAACTACACCATCCTCATCTACTATTCAACAACACTGTCTTTTAAATCCAAACAAAAAAGGGTAAAAAACCAGAAGTAGACCTTACCCACAGAAATGGAGGTGATTCAATGGGACAATGATACGCCTCCAATATAAACTATCTCCAGCATAGTAGACAGTCATGGGCAGAGTACTCTCAAAGCAATAAGCAGGGGAATCCTTAGCACAGTTGGCCCCAACAAGACTCCAGGAGGAGCCACCATCAGTAGAATATTCCAAGCGAACTGGATATTTGGATGTTGCTTCAGCTCCACAACCAATATTGATCTTTAAAGAAAATTTTAAAATTTATTTTGAAACTTTTATTTACAACTAAAACAAGTTAGATCAACATATGTTTGTATGTGTAAGTCTGTAAGAATTTTTCAAAAATTTACAAAATGTTTTTTTACAATTCTACTAAGGCTGGTATCAGGCTTGTGAGGACAGATTTACAATAGTAAAGTGTATAAGTTAACCCAGGGGTCGGCAACCTTTTGAGATGGAAGAGCCAAAAGTTACAATTTATAAAATTTCACAGTTTCTAATGAGCCACATTTTTTTTTTCAATAATTGGTATTTGATTAGGATTATGTAAATAAATTTGATTTGTTATTTAAAATAAATGGCTTTAATTATGAAATAATATTTATTCATATAAAAACATACAAATGTTTCCCCAGAGTATTGAAATTAGTAATCAACTAATATAACTATAGGACTATCCCAATCCATTTTAGAAGCTGATAACCTTTTTTCTGTCTTTACGGATATCACAGGCTCAGGGGGTGTCTCCCAATTAGCCAGGCAGGCCTCAACATGGCAAACTCTGACTAACTGGTTTGATTACCATATCGGTTGCTTCTGTCCTTTGGTTCTCATGAGGCTTGTCTTCCACCCCACAGAGCCCAGGGTAAACTGGTACCCCACCGTTCAGTACCTAGCTCGACCGTAGGATGCTAATAACTAAAAAAACTACATGACTCAGGTCAAATTAATGATTACTGACAGATAGGGAAATGCACTCTGAATAAAATAACATTCCCCATTCGACGATATTAAAAAAAGTCGGCGCTCGAGCAGTGGCAAGCATGGAATTATTGGGCTGTGGGGCTGGGCCTGGTGCCCAAGCGGCTATAGCTGTCCATATAGTTTCTACTGCACCTATTCTCACTGTTCTCTGATGAGTGTTTTTATCCTTTTTAAAGTTGTGTTTCTTTACAGTGTAATATCTGTTTTGAATTTTGAAAATAAAATAATATAACTATTAATATTTGTGCAAGGAGCTGGAGAGCTGCATTTGGGACATCAAAAGAGCCACATGGGCTCGCAGGTTGCAGACCCCTGAGTTAACCATCATAAATAAATATCAGAAAGAAATATTACTAGTGAAACACACAACCAGGCTAAAACATAATAAAAAGCTTGAGTATTGACTTTACTAATAAATGATAACTGTTTTATCAAAGTTGAGTCAAATCGTTTAACCTGATTTTAATAATCCAAAGTTTTATTATTCTATATTTAATCAACATAAGACAAGCATTTTGTATGTTAGTGTACTTTTCTAGTATTGAAACTTGACCTACGTCAAACTGTAAAACAGACATAGGTCCAATCTCTAGGTCTGATGTAATGGCTGAAAGTTCTCCCCCTTCATTGTGGCTAAACACCAAGGCTGATTGCCCTTTGATCTCTGTGCTAGGACTTGGAAAGAAGAATTCATTTCTCCTTTTTTCTCCATTAAAACAATAGCAATTATATAAAAATATTGTTATTTTAAAACTAAAGTAAGAATGGTTTGTTTCCATTCAGGCCTTTTGTAAGAAATAGATAAATAAATATAATTTATAAAAATTTATAGGTAATAAATTGTAAAATTATTTAACAAGCAAAAGAAAAAACATACCGGTTATGCCTGGAGCAATATTCCTCAACCGCTCCATCATTAACAAATGTCCAGGACATGGGATCAGGCTGGTCAGCAGCATCAAAGTTGTCAAACAGAGAGTTGGGGTTCGACCCCATAGTGCCAATAAACAAGTTATCCACCGACCAAATGGAGTGAAGCTCTCCCCCATTAGCAGGCTGCCAAAACCTGAACCTAGTTGCGTTATGTCTAGCAGCAAGCGGCAAAGACAGGGTATAGAATCTACAAGAAAAAAATAATAATAGTTTTAGTAAGTGAAAATTCAAGTCATGATATATAAATTTAAAAAAATACTAATTTAGGAATAAAATATATTCCAGCTAAAAACAACTCATAGCTATATAAAAATATTAATGGACCTAAGGAAATACAATAGGGCAGGTAAGTAGGTCACCAACCAGTTCTAAGGCTCAATAAAACCTGCATGAGCCATAGAACTGGTTGGTGACCTACTTACCAGCCTTATTTGTTTACAGTTTAAAAAAAAATGCACAAAAATTAAGTAATGTGTATTATTATTTTTTTCACACAGAAAGTGCAGCAACTACTCCCAAATCATCTTCAAGTGTTCTTGACATCATGTAACATAAAAAACTGCCTCATTATTATATAAAAAAAATAATTCTCAAGAAAAAAGAATTACTGTGTACACACTTAGGCTGTGATGTGTTAGAAAAATGAATCTCCTTGATAAGTTTCCAGATAATACCTCCATTAATGGAGTATTGAAGGAGAACACTTTGGTTTCTTGGCCAGAATGGGGCCTCTGATCCGCAGCCATATTTAAAGTAAAACTCCATTGAAACCAGCATAGATGTGTCCATGTCCTTTGTTGCAGCAACACGCAATCCCTTCTGTGATATAAAGAAATAGAATTTACTTTTCAGTCTACAGGAACGCATAAAACTAGCTTAAATGGAAAAACAATTATTACTTTAATCCCAAGATACAAATGTTTTCAAAGAAAAACTACAAATATTTATTTTTATTGTCTATCATTACATTTTAACCCAATAGAGAAATATTACACCTATTTCATGCTTCAGTATGGGCAGCAAACAAATAATTTTCACCCACAAAAAACTTCCCACCCCCCTCCCAGTTTAACCTAGAGGCCTCAAATTAGTGATTAATCTTCATCAAGCAATCATTTCAAAATTAAACTAACATTTATTCATGGATTTATTTTCTTCTCTCCAGGCACACTGGAATGGAAGGTAGACAGGGGTGAGGGAGAGTAGGCTAACAAATATACTGAAAGATTGTATAATTTTTTCCTTCCCCAAACACTGAATAATGAAAAGCTTAAAGGATGTTTTTCACATTTTTTTCCTTTTTAAAACTAGATTGTACACTAATTTATACAAAAAAAACAACAACTTTGGAAGAAGCACTTACAGTTTTTAAGAAATAAAACAAACCTTATCAAATGTGAATGACCGTCCACTAACTACTGGGTCACAAATGTCACTGTTGCTTCCTCCATACACCTCATTCCATATGGATTCATCAGATTTTTTAGAGTTGAAATCATCACGAAATGTCATAGGGAGCGGGTCATGTGGTACACAGAATTTCCCACTAAATCCTGGATCACAACTATTGTAATGGGAAAGTTATTTTAAAAAATGTCAGAAGAAAGACATTAATTATTTAATTAAAAAATAAATATTATCTGTAACAGTCATACATAATATAAAACAAATTGATAAGTTTGAATTTTTAAAGCTAATTTGTAACGAAACTGGTCTTTTATTAAGTTGAATTGTTAAATATATTATAATGTTTTTTTCAAAACTAACAGTTACTTTAAAACAGAAAAGATTAAGCAGGATTTGTATTACTTAATTAATTTACAATTTCCACCCTGAGAGGTAAATTGGAAGCCAAACACTGTCCAGATTATTCCTATACTAAAAAATCACATACACGCAAGTTCCATTGTGACAAACTCCATGCCCTGAACACAACCAAGGGCAGCTATCACCCAGGTAGACATTATCCAGGGCCCAGATTGGTCCCCCTTTAACTGGTGATGGTCTTAGCCAGCGAAATCGTGTAGAAGGAGATCTGAAACATTGATACAAAAATATTTTGACAACTGAGACTTTTAACACCAGCATAATTTGGTTGATGGATATTGGTTGTGACAAAAAAGTTTAATCAAAATATGTGTTCATTTTTAAATGGATTAAAAAGTAAATAATGAAAAAATTATGTTCATGAATAACAACATTCCTGTATAATAATTGCTCTGATTATCATGGGAATTAAACAATATGATGTATAAAAACAGCTACATTTTTTTGTCCAACTAACGAGCAGTAGCAAGCATTAGTAAAATTAATTTTAATTAAAAAAAAACAACAACCTATAAATGGAGGATTAAGGTGTAAGGATTTTCAAATGGCAAAGAGTAAATAAAAACAAGAGTTGTCCATAATAAAAAATGGTGTGCTCCAGTTCCTAATTCTTTGTACAGGTGTTTAGTTATTACTGAACACTATATGCAACTGCCTTGGCAATATACAATATATTTAATAACAAGCCATACTGGAATAACAATGGCTGTCCAATGTTTTTTTTTAAATTTTTCTCAGAATTAGAAAAAGTGGACAACTGTGGTCTTCAATTAACAATTAGCAAGCAATAAGCTCTTACATTGCTTTCTCAGGTAATGCGACTGTCACTCTGGTCCAGTTAGAGAATTGGTTAGACGGGTAGACTGAGCTGAGGTGGTAGCCAGAGCATTCAAAGTTAGGAGGTAAGCACTCGTTGACCACTGGTGTCCAGGTCTGACCGTGGTCCGTTGAGTAGTCAAGTTTAATGTTGTAGAGGTCCCCAGAGAGAGAGCCACAGTCCATAGCTAGATCAAACTGTAGGAAGGTTGAAGGGGTCACTTGGTAGTCCCAGGTTTCAGCTAGTTGTCTGTCTGTTAGATATATAAGGTGGTTTAAGGTTTTTTTTTAACAAAGTAAACTATTTTTCTCAATGATTAAAAAAAGTAAAATAAACAATGCTCACAAATAAAAAAGTTAAACAAATCACATTTAACTATGCCTGCTTCAAATTTGCAGCAAAATTTATATTCACCCTTTTTATTATTGAATTCCAGTGCATTGTTTTGAGAGTTGCAAGTTTCTCTTTGCACAGCAGAATCTGCCAGAAACCAGTTGTGGGGGTCAGGCATAAGTCCAGGCCCTGTTGGTGAAATAGTACAACAAACAATGTGATTGTGGATTATTTTTAGTCGTAGATATGGAAGAAAGGAATAATGATTTATGTAACAAAATATGTCAAGTACAATTGAAGCAAAAGGTTATTTCAAGATCTGACAGCCCACATTTCAGACAGTTTTCATTGTCACAACTTACATGAAATGTATGGGTCAAACAATGCCCAGCTGTCTCTACAAAACATAAAACCACTCTTTAGAAATTATCTAGTCTTGATGTGGTTAATAAATGTGCTGGAAGAGGTTCCCCAGATATGTAAATTATCCCATGATTAATTGGGCAGATAAATATAACATGAGAGTTATTCAACCCTCACATAGCAATTTCAAATTTAATTTAAAAAGAAAAACTACCTGAAAATGAATCCTCAAAACCTGCTGGACTTGTCTCATTAACACCAACCAGTACACTGTCTATAGCCCATTCAGCTCGGGGCATTTCTAATTCAGAGACATGTATAAAATTCACCTAGAGCTGCAACTCTTGTTAATTACACTTTTTTAAATTGTCATAAATAAACTACTAAATGAATAAACTAATAGGATTGTTAGAGTGAAATAACATCAAACTAATGTTTGTACATCAAATTTTTTTATCCATAAAATTCTAGGCAGTAATAAGGAAAGATTTTAAAAATTAAAGATAGTGAATCATGTACTAATTTTTACAAGAACAGATGTATGTATTGTAGAAAATAAGCTAATAAACACCCCAAAGCAACAGTTTACCTCCAAGACCCAAAGGCTGCCAAAACCTAAAGACAGTTCTGTTTTTCCTAGCATCAGACGGTAGGTTGATCACCACAGAACTGGGTTTAATTTCTTCAAAGGTTGGTTCAACCACCTTCAGCACTTTCCAGGTGATTCCATTATCCGTTGAATAGTCAACTATAACTGCTTCATTGCGGCTCCTTGGTTGGCGGCAGGTCTCAGAATTAAAAGCTCCTCCAATTTTGATAGAAAACTCTAAAATCCTGAAATTTAATTTTTTTATGTAACATAAAATATACAAGAAAGGGTATGTGTATATTAGATATATCAAAACATTTTAAATACATTATTGTCCTCAATAATATTTTTACTCCACACCTAAGCCTTAAGGTTTAGTTTCATAATTGATAATAACCCTAATGCAAATGAATAATCAGAATAAATACACCATTTGTGTAAACAAACTTTATACAAAATTTTAAAATTATACAAACTAAAATCCATAAAACTAAAACTTTCATGAAACAGTACCTTTTGTGAGTTGTGTTTAAGGGAACTGTCTTTGCTTCTCTGGTGCCATCCCCACCAAAATACAAGGCGTTGTCATAGTCAATCACCCCACAGTGTTTCCCCAGATGTCCTCCAATTATTCTGTCCCAAAAGTCCATTGAGGGCATGTTACGGTTGTCGAAGCGGTCAAGCATACCAGGTGGAGGGTTGTTGACAGCTGCACAGTTTTCACCTAGAACATTCAAAGTACCAGCTCTGATGTTTTTAAAAATATTCAATCTTATACTTTTAACTTCAGTTTTTAAATTATTTAAGGGGTCGGCGTGGTCGAGTCGGTAAAGCTCATGGTTGCTAAACCAAAAAGTCTCGAGTTCGAACCCTCGGGCAGATGAGGCTCGTTAGCTGGGGACAGCCACTCTTCTAGGAGAGACAACTCCAAAATTAAACAACTGCTGCCTTGTAGTTTGTTCTTGGTTGGACAAAGGCTATGGAAGCAAATCCAAAAAGAAAAAGCAGGCTGAAATCGAAGTCAATGGCCTCAATGGCACATAACCAATTGACACGTAACGCTTAATTGTGTTGTAGGCGTGGTTGAGTCGGCAAAAAGCTCATGGTTGATAAATTCGAACAAAGTCTCGAGTCAAACCCACTGGCAGATAAATCTCGATTCCCTTCAACACAAATAATTAAGAACGAAGAAGAAGAAGAAGAAGAAGAAATTATTTATTTTCAATGAAAAATTTTTGACTTAGAAAATTTAGAAATGATGTTTAAAAATTAAATAAAATTTCATCTTTGAATACTGATAAGACTTCAAAATTATCATCAACTTAATCCTCAATATTAAGATCATCACCTTAGTCCATATAAATATATAAAGCCAAAAAGGTATTACGATAAAATAAAATAAAAATTGACAAGCAGTATAAGAGACCTACCAGCCGCATCTTGGAGAGTGTCCAGGCACTCACACTGACCATTCTTGCACACACCTCTGTTGTGACAGTTGTCTGTACAAGGTGGACCCATGTACAGATTATCAATGCTAAAGCTGTAATCCACACCCCCACTCTGCATCCAGCGAAATATTGTTGGACTGTCAACATAGTGTTTAATATATTGTAGGACTGAGAGCAAAGTGTTTAAAATATTGTTGGAAATTGTTTAAAAATATTGTTGGAGTCTAAACAATTTTTCTAGCTGAGAATTCATAAATGTAAGGATAAAACAGGAAATTAAAAACAACATACTTTAGAGATATGATTAATTAAAGTACGTCTGAGGGTTCACAGTATTATAGAGGGTTCACAGTATTATAGAGGATAATATCAAACGGATATTATGTAAAAATGTAACTAATAATTTGATATCTAAACTAAGTTATAAAAGAACAGCCTGTATCACTAAATTTTAGGTGTTATTATGTTCTCATGATAAAACTTACTCATTACAGCTGTTGTTTCTATTTTAAAAAATACAGCATAGAGGTTTAAAAAATTTAAATACAAGTTAGGTAATCAATGTAAAGTCTCTACTTACTGCATGGCAATTTTCTCCGTGACAGGTATCACAACCAGGGTCCACTGTCCATGTGTGCCAGTGTAGTAGATGCTACCCTCAGTGAGGTCACCATCACAGTCCTGATGGAGGTAGCAGGGATCCTCCACCAGGTTCCATGTCTTACCCTGGTCATGGCTGAACTGGAATATGACTGGATGGTCCCATCGGAAAATCTTGCCACAGTCAACATTTATCTGTGTAGATTTTTAAGCAAACTGCCTTAGTAATGCACACAAGAGAAAAAAGTTAAAATATGGTACACATACCAAAAACTCAATAAGCACACATAAACAGGTACAAACTTGTAACTCAACACCCTGGTGGGAAGCATTTTTAATGCCACATAGCCAATAATACCTAACTCTAAATAACCTATGTTATCCACAGGATAACCATAGGATAGTCAAGAAAAGGAAATATTTGAAAACAAATTAATACAGAATTATATGAACATACAGTAATGGTTAATTACCTCGAACTGAATGACATCCCCAGGTTGAAGGTGAACGTCATTGGTCACAGCTATCTTATCATTCACCTGATTGGTCATTACAAGAGAAGGGTTTGTGGACCTACAGTATTTCCCATTGGTTCCTTCAGTTATCAGTCGCCATTGGTCAAATAGCATTGGTTCCAAATAATCCTAAGGACATTCAATATGTTTACAAGTTCAAAAAAAAAGAACACGAAAGTGAATTATTGTCTATCATTTTTTATTTCACAGTGTAGTAACTACCTCGAAATCATCTTCAAGTGTTCTTAAATTCTTGTAGCTCCCAATAAGAATTTCATCCACTGCCCACTGGTCATTGCCTGCACCTGAATGGGCAGGCTGCCACCACTGAAACTGTGTGTTGGGGGATTTGGAGGCTGCTGGAAGTTCTATATGCACAAACCTGGACACACAAAAATTCAACAGAACATACAGTAGTTAAAGTATTTTTCTGTCAATTATCTATTTACTTTACAGTTTTCAGGTAATGATTTCACAGTGAGACTAGAATTTTTAAAAAGTAAGGAGCATAAGAAAAACAGTCTTTTTTTTTTACAATAAATGATTAATCAAAACCAGAAAAGAGTTTTCACACAACCTAGTATGAAGTTTTGAATAGACAACTTAATTATTATAAATTGGTATCTATATATATAATTCTCTTCAGGGAGTCGCTAGAAAACAAGCTGTAAGCGCGCTCCCTACCACCCCCACCCCTACATGGTCTGGTGAGCTGTGGTTCACTCTAAATGTTACAAACAGAGCCGGGTTTAGTGACGACTATTAGGGTCAGATAATTTAGTTTGAAACGATTTTAAACGTAGGGGGGGGGAGTAACTAAGTGGAGTTTACTGTAATGGAGGGGGGGAGGAGGGGGAGGGTTATCGTCCTTAACGAGATACTTATAGTGTTCTAAAGAAATATTTTCAGTGGCAGCGTTGGTACTGTCGAATTCACAAATTATGAATTACTGAAAAGTAGAAAAAACAACAACTAAAAGCGGCGTATGATATGCCGCAGGTCGGCTCGTTATAGATATTCTAAATATACTGACACGGTTTACAAAGACATTTAATGTTAAATCTGGCTTTTAAACACCTACGTATTCAATGTGGTATATTGAATGTATTGTAAATATACCAGCATGGTCTACAAGATAATGTTAAGTCAGGCTTTTAAACAACTACGTGGGTGTTCCTTGTGGTGTATTATTGGTATTCTAAATTTACCAGCATGATAAACTAGATATTTAATGTTAAGTCTGGCTTTAAAACACATACGTGGGTTTTCTGTGTTCCATGTGATGTAATTCATCAAGCAGTGTCCAGGTGATTCCCCCATTTGTTGTGTACCGAAGCAGAACTGACTCCTTTCTTTTATCAGCCCCCCTACACTTGGATCCCCCACCTCCAATCTGGATGTAGAACTGGATAAAGTCTGCTGCCTCTGTGTTTAAGTTTTTGGTCAGGAGTTCTCTCACACCATCCTGAGGGGGAAAAAGGTAGTTTATTCTCTATGTTGTGTGTCCCATTTTATTTTTTTATTATTGTTGTATTAACAAAGTGGTGTGCCTACGGAATGTTTAACATTTTGTGGGTGTGGTCAGATGGTAAAGCATTTTACTGCTAATCTGAAAGTCTCGAGTTCAAATCCGGATTTGTGTATGTAGAACGTCCCTGAGTCTGCCCAGCACTGATGGGTACCTGAAACACATTAGGAAAGTAAAGGCGGCTGGGCATATTGCTGACCACACTATCCTTTCATATTCCAGTCACTGAAACAGGTGAACTCTACTTAACATGCCTTATGTACCGCCAGGTTTAAAAGGGTACTTTTTTATATTCTATTATTAAATTATGCACATTGAAATAAATGGCTTTTAAAATTTTAAGTGACTAATAACAGCTGATCTGCACTCTTATACATCTTGTAAAATTGTGTAAATATTCACTGATATTAGGAAATAGTGTTAAAATAAAAAGAATGAACAAGTAGAATGCAGAACCTGTGAGAAGTACAAGCTTTCCCCTGACAGGATAATGCCACATCCTTCATCAGCTCTGACCACATTTCCACCCCTTATGGTGAAGTCATTCTGAGGTTTATATCTGTGGCCAAAATCAGCACGGATGCTGGAGTTCATCTGAGACTTGGGTTTACATGTTTCACCAATAAAGCCATCAAAACATCTGCAAAGTAAAAAAGCATAACGTGTAATGTATCAGTTGAATGCTTCTCCAATAAAGCCATCAAAATATCTGCAAAGTTAAAAAACATAACGTGTAATGTATCGGTTGAATGTTTCTCCAATAAAGCCATCAAAACATCTGCAAAGTTAAAAAACATAGCGTGCAATGTATCGGTTGAATGTTTCTCATAAAGCCATCAAAACATTATTGGTTAAAGGTTTCACCAATGAAGCCATCAAAACATCTACAAAGTAAAACAAAAATGTGATATGGATCTCTGTGCAAAAAATAGTTACCAGTAAAACAGATCAAGACCTTTCTCCTAGAATTACGAACGCTTTTATTACAACTAATGAGTATTAAGAAAAAAACATTAAAGCAACACAATGGAAAATGAATTCTACAACTAAAATTATATTTTTTTAAAACTTTAAAAAAAAATCTAATTTTAGCAAAATTTGCTGGTGGTGAGTAATTAAAGATTTTAATATTGCTATTGAAAAGTTGCTGTAAAACCAAACAAAAAGAGTAACACATCATAATGGAAATGGGAAACAAATTAAAACCTACCTACAGGTACCTGAATGGCATATACCATGACCATTGCAGAGCTCAGGACAGGGATAGCCAACATAGATTCTGTTCAATCCCCAAACATCAGTTTCAGACCAATCAGGCTGCATCCAGCGAAATTTGGTTTGTTGACTCCTGAGGATGCACATTGGTTTAAAAAAATTGTATTTGTTGATTCAGACAGTTTGTATTCAATATAGCTCAGCCCATTACAACCTTCTATCATAATTAATTTGTAATTTTTTAAAAAGAAAACTTTATACCAAACATTACAAAACTCTAAATATCTTAAAACTAAACAATTTTCAGTGTTAAACTTTATCCTTATTTTAGTTTCTAAATACTACTGTAAATAAAAGAACAGACTGTAATAAGGTTAAAAAATATATTGTAAAAATGAATTCAATCATTTTTTTTTTTTTTTTTTTACTTCTAAAAGTAAAGCAAGAGTGTACCAAATATCAGGTGAGAGAACAATGGTTATTGTGTCCCAGTGGTCAAACTGAGAATGGTGGTAGATGGTGCCAGGTCGGTAGGTGTCGCACACATCTGGGGGGAGACAGGGGTCTTCAACCTGTATATATGTTGGCGCATTTTATTGTTATGGTTAAGATTTTAAAATATTAATAGTGTAAGTTACCAGCAACAGCTTAAATAGGCTGCCAGGTTGAGCTAAAAATCTAACACGATTTAAATTTACAAGCATACTCAAGTGAAGCTAACAAAAATTTGATCTTAAAAGTGCTAGAATAATTGTTTTGAAATTCTGTATTTTTTTTTTTTGGGATACAGTTAAAGTGAAGGCAACAAAAATTTGATCATAACTAAACAAGATTAATAATTTTTGAAATTCTGTATTTTATACAAACTGAAGTCAAAAAAATTTGATCAGGGCAGAGCTAGAATAATTGTTTTGAAATTCTGTATTTTTCTTTTGGATGAAAATAAAGTGAAGCCAACAAAAATTTAATCACAGCAGAGCTAGAATAATTGTTTCAAAATTCTGTATTTCTGGAATGGAGCTGGAGAGAAGCCTACAACATTTTATCAGAGCAGAGCTGGTAATCTTTTTACACTTATTTCAGTCCCATTACATTTAGCATTTATGTCTATCTTGAAAAATACCATTGCCAATAACTCTAGCTACGCAGTTGACATGTAATATTGTAATATGAAACACAACACTAAAGACAGTCTTTACCAGATGCCAACTGATGCCATGGTCAACAGAATACTGAAAATACACTTGGTTGTCAAGACCAGGTGTGTATGGCACACCACATCCCATAACAAGATCAAACTGTGCTATGTAGCCTGGTCCAACCCGCATGTCCTTGGACACCAGAGAACGGGGCTCACCATTTCTTGTCTTGTTGGAAAAACTGAATAGCAAATTTAAATACATACTGAGTAATAATTGAATATTTATGTTTGACTACATGTGATGCCCAGTGTTGTCTATAAGAAGGCCTATATATATATATATATATATATATATATATATATATATATATATATATATATATAATTGTTAAATTTAATATAAGAGCCATGTACTTTACCTACAGATAAAGAATACAAACTAATCATGAAACTATACATACGTGACACTTCTCATTCTACCACAGAAACTGTCCACTAATTTCCCAAGGTTGGTTGTGAGTCTGCTATCAATCTCTGGCAGGTCCATCATTTCAACAGCAAGCAGGTTGGATGTCATATCTCTGTTAAAAACAATGTCATCAATGGCCCAAACATCCTTCCCAAATCCTGAGTGCTTGGGCTGCCTCCAGCGAAACTGACACAGATTTTGTCGGGCATCTTTGGGGAGGGATATGGAGGCGGATCTGTTTGAAGTAAAACAAGCTCTTTTAGTAATGGAATATTGAAATCATAATAAAAATAAACAACCGTAAATTAAAAAAATAATTTTACAACTATATATTTCACGCATGGCATAAGTCAAACCTTGGCTGTTGGAAATTAGCTATTTGGAATTCTGAAAGCAAGGACCAGCTTATTCCTCCATTGCAGGAGTATTCCAGAAGCACATTTTCCCATGGAGCATCTGGTGGTGGACAGCTGGACATAACAGATTGACTTCCAATTCTAAGGGTAAACTGTACAGATCTACAAAGGAAGATGAACACAAACTTTTTTGTTAAACATTAGAAAAAAAATCTTTAAAAAAAATATTCTCCGGTGTTTGAGTAAAATAATTTTTTAACGTAATTTTAAGCTTATCTTTAAAACCTGAAACATCTATCAAAGTAGCTCAAACATACAGTTCCTAATTTGTTTTATTAGTTTTAATTAAAAATATTTATTCCTCAATATTCAGAAAGAGCCTATTTTGATCATCAGCAACATGTAAGATTTGTAAAGGAAAATCCATTCCTCCAATACTTTAAAATAACAAAATAAAGAATATTCTGTGACATTAAAAGTCCTTGCTACTCCGATGTGTACCTGACTTCTATCATGGAGAGTAAAGGTGGCAGGGTAAAGTGCTGAACATACTATCCCTTCAAACATTTTGGTCAGAGAAGCAAATGAATTGTCCCAAAGACTATATGGTATGAAGGGTATGTTAGTTACTTATCATTTAATCTTAAAAGAAATCTTAATTGTTTTCTGACATAAAATCAAAAGTTTAACTCTGAAAACTTACCCTATGGAGGTGGAGTTAATTTCTGTGGTTGTCAAACTTCTGACTCCTCCCTTGTTGAAGACCAAGGCTTTTCCTGAGGATACCACCCCACACTGGTAGCCTACAGAACCTCCTGAGCTGTCAATCAGAGATGATGTTGTAGTCACTGATGGGTCCTCAAAGTTTTCTTGGAATGACGAGATGACTGGTATCACAGACTTCTCGCATGCGTCTCCCTCATAACCAAAGTCACAGCTACAAATCATGAAAAATTTGGGGAAAAACATTTTAGTTTAATTACAAATGCTAGAATATGACTTTAAAAAAATTGATTATCATTAAATATTATGATGATGCTTTAAATATAAATTAAAATACTTCATGTTGTCTAAAAAAATCAACAGACAAAAAAAAATCTATCAGAAGATCTAAAAAGAAAAAACTTTTTTCTCCCTAATGTACCATTTTGTTTGGAAACTTGTCTTACCTACAACCACTTTCAATACAGTTGCCATGTCCATTACACCATTTGTTACAAGAACCAATGAATACTGAAATTTTACAAATGAAAAATGTAACTAACTGCATAACAATACCTTACTAATAATAATAATTTTGTAACTATGAAAATAATTTGATACTTCACTGAACAAAAGCAAATAAAAGCATACTACAACCACTATTACAGATTGAAATCTTACCATCATCTATAGCCCATGGTGAAGGCACATCTCCGACGTAAATAGCTCTGAACCTTGTATTAGGAGTTTGAGCAGCATATGGCACAGGTAATGTTATCCTGTTCCACCTGTTGAACAAATAACAGTTATAAATCTGGTTGATAAGGAATATAGTTGTAGACATATTTCTGATATTAAAAGTTAACTAAAAAACACATAGCAAAGTTGTTATCTTTCATTAATAAATTAATAAACCAAGAAAGGCACTCACCCTGAAAGTTCTTTAGCTGTAACTAAAGAGGACAATGACTGGTGGTGACCACTGCATGTTGAAGGTAAACAAGGAACATAGAACTCATTCCAGCTGGCCCCATGGTCTGTACTGAACTCAAAGCTGACACTAAAGAGCAGAAAAACAGTTGGAAGGACACTAAACAGTTGGAAAATATAAACTATGATTCTAAACAATTGAAAATATAAATTAGGACACTAAACAGTTGGAAAATATAAACTATGACACTAAACAGTTGTAAAATATAAACTATGATACTAAACAGTTGGAAAATATAAACTATGACTCTAAACAGTTGGAAAATTTAAGCTATGACACTAAACAGTTGGAAAATTTAAGCTATGACACTAAACAATTAAAAAAAATGGTTTTTGACACTAAACAGGTGAAGACAATAATGTCTGCATTTTAATACTACCAAAACTAACATTAAATTATTTAAGAAATGTTATGTCAAAATTTTTGTCTTAACATTTAAAAAAGATGGTAAGTAAGATGCGGTTTATTACTATTTAAAAAATAAACAATTTAAGAAATTATATTTTAATTAAAATATTATATAAGAATACAAATAAAGAGATTTTAATGTAAACATGACAAAATCAAATAAGAATTGATTTACACAATAAACATATAGAGTGTATTCAGAGCTATTTACACTTGTGTAGGTATAGATCTGACTTTATGACTAGCTGATCAATTCTTTATTATTTGGGCACACAGAATCCATTTTTTACTGAAAGTTTTTATTCCTTTATTTCAAATGAAAACAGTGACATAATGTTATTATTGTTCTTTGAATGTTCCTTAAAAATACACTGTGGTAGTTTTAAAGAAAAAAGGTTTCCTATTTATATACTTGTAAGTAAAACGTAGAATTTCTTATTTATATTAAAATACATTTTTAAAAAATCTTCTGTACCATACCTAGTTTGTTTTTCTGCTTCCTTGCCACACTGCAGGTTGACAGTAGCCTGCAGCACTTTATCCCCATCTTCCTTGGACTCTTTAGGAAGCAGGGGAAGTAGTGTTAAATCATCAATAGCCCAGACATCCATGTCCACACCCCCACTGGATTTTTGCAGCAGGCAGAGGGAAACCTTGCCGTGGCTCTTCTTGTGAGTAGTCACGTTTACAACTGGATAGGACACTAGTTGTGGGACCTGTAAATATAAAGATCAATAAGGCCACTTATAAATGATGTCCTATAATTTTTAATCTTTATCCCGCCTATTTAAACAGGTTAAATCTGAGGTTAAAACAACCCCTCCCCCCAAATAAAAACAAAACAAAAAACAACCCCATAGTTAACTTTATTTGAGTCAGTGTTATTTTTAAGAATTACAAAATATGAGCTATGTTGCATATCTTGACTCCTGTACAGTTTTCTTCAAATAGCGAATCATCACCAAGGTCTTAATTTTCTAATAAGTTAAATATTTTAACAATTAATCCCGTGTACAAGAAAAAAAGATACCAGCTTTAATAGAAAGTAATACGTTTACAAAACATTTCAACATCAAATGTTAAACTTAGTTCATTTAAATTTGTGGCATTATTTTTATGACTAATTAAAATATTAACATAGGTATAGCATTCAAAATGATCTTTATTTCTATTATTTCATATACTTTTTATACAATATGTATGTAATAGTAATTGTCAAGTTTAAAATAAACTCGCCAATCACCTGAAAAAACTCAGCTTCAAGATTTCTTATAACAAGAGTGTGCTCATCCTCATCTTGAAGGTACATAAGCACAGGGGGACTTTTGGCACTGCTGTGGCAGATATTTCCACCTGAAACAGAAAATTGATTTGTAGATTAGGTGAAAGAGATTGTAAATAATGTAAAATAAAAAGCAAGTTAGACAAGAAAACAATTAGATCCGTCAATTTAAATAAAAATTTAAACCAATTTACAAAAATTATGAGGAAAAATTTAAACAAATTAAAAAAAAATATTTATAGTAATTAAGTTTTTGTCTACATCTTAGCATGCATAATAGGTAAAACAATAGATGCCTAATAACTCACCATACTGAAAGTAGAAGCGCACAGTAGAAACATCTCTGAGGTCAAATTTGCTTGTGCACACTTGACGTTTCTTCTTGCCATTAAATATCAGTGATTTGCCCTCCTTAACAATCCCACATTCTGTTCCAACATGGCCATTATCCACTTTAAGACTAAAAATATGAAAACAATTTTAATAAGTGAAGAGTTTTTTTTGGTGTTTTTTTAACATTAAGTGATCAATTAATATTTTCTTTTTTAAAGTTATAAATTAAACAAAAGGTATATGAGCAATTCAGATTACATTAAGAAGATGTAACATGACTTCTGCTATTTATGAACCAAATCAATTAAGAATATTTTCTTGTGTTTAATTTAATTAGAATTTTTTTATGTTGCATTTTATCATCAAGTAAAAAGAAAAAAATTATGGAAGTTAAGTAAACTGCGGGACATCCTATTGACTTAAGGCAAAGAACCAAACTCAGATGATAGTGTTAGTATTGGTTTGTTTTATCACTTGACTCTTCTCATGATATTCAGACCAAGAATCAAGTCTAAATCATTCATTTGTTCATAAATCGCTAGATATTGTAATTCTTATTATTTTTTATATACCCTAAATTTTATTTGAAAATTGAATCGTTATGGTCCTTTATTATTTGTATTAAAAACTGTTAGTATTTTATTCATAAACTAAACGTTCAATGTAAAGAAAAATTTGAAAACATTGGAGACACGACTTGTTAAGGGACAGAAAGAAAGATGGATTTATAATGTGGACGGTTAAAGTAACTACACCAGTACAGAGTTTCCTGACATGCTCATGTAGGCAGCCTATGTTAGTGGAATGATAGAAGAATTATCACTTCTTAATACTTAATAGATAACAATTTCATGTACTATGAAATGATGAGTTTTCAAGGCTAAAACATAAATTATAAAAGCTATATTTTACCTAGATATCCCATTAGAGAAATCCACAAATAAACTTGCATCTTTCCTAACATCTGTAACATCAAAGTTAAGCTCTCTGGTAACTGCATAGGTTGTGGTCTGATTTCTGTCTCCAAATACAAGTGCGTTGCCATGAGATTGACACTGATGCTAAAAGAATAAGATTTTAAAAATCTCAGTCAATTTTTAAAATTCATATTAAGTTGCAATGTCACCAAAAAAAGGTAAAAAAAAACTAGATCTGTATTTCAAAACTGAAAAAGTAGATATATATCATGTTGTATTTGGACAATTAGTCAAAAATGTCATATAGGATGTGTACAATTATTCAAAAATATATATAATGTGTATAATTAGTTCAAGGCAATATTGAAAGCCTGAAATTAATCCAACATATTCTATTATAACTTCTACAATTATCAAACAGCAACAGGACAGAATGAATAAGATTATGACACAAACCTCAATCTGTGCTCCTGGGAAAAAAATCCAGTTGCTGGGGTTAATGGGATCAAAGTTTTCTCGAACCTCACTTGGGGGGTTGGCTGTGTTTACGACAACAATATGATCTATAGCCCAACATTTGTGGTAGGGTACCTAAAAAATAAATGACATGTAATAATCTTTTGCCCAACATTTGTGGTAGGGTAACTAGAAAATAAATGACATGTAATAATCTTATGCCCAATATTTGTGGTATGGTACATAGAAAATAAATGACAAGTTATTTTCTATAGCCCAGTATTTGTGATATGATATCTAGAGAATGATCTATGGTAGAATAACTGGCAATGTCATCTTACATTCTGATGAGGTTTAAATTTTGACTAATTAGTTTTGATACAGTATGTTTTACTTTAAACTAATGTAAAAATGTAAAAAGATAGTTATTTTTGCCTTACTAGAATAATATCATCTTGAGGTTCATCATTTGGATAAACAAGGCCAAAATAATCTGTTGTAACTATGTCTTTTTCTGTAGAAGTTAATGGCTCATATTCAGGAACTATTTGAGTGGAGTTCCATGGTTTGGAATCAGGATCTGCTGTGATATTTGTGAATGTTTCTGTAAACAGGTCAGTATCATTTGATGCTTGTGTTAAGGCATAAGTTGAAGTACTAGGTGTAGTCCCCATTGTTGAAGTACTAGCTGTAGAGCCCAATGTTGAAGTACTAGCTGTAGAGCCCAATGTTGACGTACTAGCTGAAGAGCCTAATGTTGAAGTACTAGGTGTAGTGCCCAATGTTGAAGTACTAGGTGTAGTGCCCATTGTTGAAGTACTAGGTGTAGTGCCCATTGTTGAAGTACTATCTGTGGAACCCAATGTTGAAGTACTAGGTGTAGCGCCCATTGTTGAAGTACTAGGTGTAGTGCCCAATGTTGAAGTACTAGCTGTAGAGCCCAATGTTGAAGTACTAGCTGTAGAGCCCAATGTTGAAGTACTAGTTGTAGTGCCCAATGTTGAAGTTCTAAGTGTAGAGCCCAATGTTGAAGTACTAGGTGTAGTGCCCAATGTTGAAGTACTGGGTGTAGTGCCCAATGTTGAAGCACTAGTTGTAGTGCCCAATGTTGAAGCACTAGTTGTAGTGCCCAATGTTGAAGAACTAGCTGTAGTGCCCAATGTTGAAGTTCTAGCATCTTTTGTTGTTTTAGTAGAGCCCAATGTTGGTGTATATTTTGTTGTTGGTTTATAACCCAATGTTGAGTGACCAGGATCTTTAGATGAATGTTTGGCATCCAATATTGCGGAGTGGGAATCTGACTGAAGATTCTTGCGTGAATTGGGCTGCTGGAAAAACTTGAGGCAAACATTTGATGTCCGAGCTGGAAGTGGTAGGCCGACGATGTGGACTTCTGGAGTATCTGAGATTGGAGCTCTGTGATAAAAAAAAATTAGTGTAGGTTAATTTAAGAAATTGGATGGAATGGTAGTGATAAAACACATAACTGCTAGCCTAAAGGTCTTGAGTTTGGTTCACAGGTTTGAGAATATAGGCCCTGTTCATGTAAACCCAACCCTGATGTGTGAATGACTTCAGTTGGAGAATAGTAATAGTGTTGATCACACAATATTTTCATACAGCAAGGCTATTTAACAGATGAACTAAGCTTCATCTGTCATATTGTCCATCAAGTCCAAAATAGTATTTTTCTTAAATGGTATTTTCATATAACTGTTATTTAAGAACTGAGAGGTTTGTAGAAATGAGTTCTGAGTTAGATCCCCCCCCCCCCCCCCAACAGATGAGGCTCAACAACTGGTGACAGCAACCCATCTAGGAGAGGAAACTACAAAATCAAACAACTGCTGACTTTGTTCTTGGGTGGATTAAAGGCTATGAAAGCATATCAAGAAAAAAGAAAGAAGGCTGAGATCTATATGGCGCATAACATGTTGGCAGATAATAATTAATTGTGTTGGAGGAAATCCAGTCCTACATTACAATTAAGAACTGAAAGGGATATTAAATTTTTACCCATAAACTTATTTTCACAGCAAATGCAGCAGATAAATGATCAAACAGGTTTAAACATTCACTGGTCAGGATTAACAGAAATTAAATTACTGATAGATAACTTGTGTTAGGTTAAAATTACCACACAATGGCACAAAAAGAATTTATGCATTCACTAGTAAATACTTACCCAAGTGAAAAATAAGTCACTGGGAGAACGTATAAATAAAATTAATGAGCTGATTTACCTTAAACAAAAAGAATCTAGCATTCTACAAACCTGATTTTATCAAATGCTGTCCACTGAGTGCAGTCATCTGTTCCATAGCTTACAACTATCTCCTGATCTTCTAGTGGGTTTGATCTACATTTTCCCCCTCCTGTAATGGACAATTGTGGTTTTTAATTGTACAGTCTCATGTAATTTGTGTGGTGAATGGAGTTTTGAAAGAAACTATATGAGCCTAATTATAATTAAAATGCATAATATAATTGGAACTATTCAAGCTACGTCATTTTGTTGTAAATTAAAAACTGTCAAAAAATAAAAGGAACAAGTACCACAACTGTAAATGTAATGTTTACCCTTTTGAAATTTTTTTTCTATTATTAATTCTAATGAAGTCGTAAATTGAAAAGAAAACTTTTTTCTTCAGTTTTTCCTATAAATAATACTTTCTATTTTTCCATAATCAGTAGTAGTCCACATATAGGCTACATATATAGTCATAATAAAGAGAAATACAGTTACCGATAGAAAATTGCAGAACACGTGCTGAAGTTAAATTCAATGGAACAGTCACCTGAAAGTATAAGTTCACTAAATAAATGAATAAATAACATTTGTTATTTTGAACACACCTGCAACATAATAAGTAGGCTATATGGAATTGAAACAGCTGTTTATAAGAATTTTAACAGAAAACAAAAGGGTAAAAAAGTAATGTTAAGTTCCCCATCCCGACCTAAAAATCCATAGGGCAATGGAGTAGAGTTCATAATATGTTTCTTGACCTCGGCATATGAAGTGATGGTGTGATCAGCATTATGTTCACCTGCCTTTCCTTTCACTAACACTAGTTAGGTACCGATCAGAACAAGGTGGATTCCGAGATGCCCTGAATTGAGATCTGAACTCAGACCTTCGGGTTAGCAGTTGAGCTCTCTACCACCTGACCACCGTCCCAACCAGGTATAAAGTAATAATGTGATGATTCTTACCTAATTGTTAGTGCTTTTTATTAAGAGTCATGAAGGACAACTACGTGTGAATTTTAAATTCTTTCAATTTTCGCTACAGCTTGTGAAATCAGAGTTGTAATTACAGCGAAGGTTTAAAGCCTTGTAATGGAATTGGCTTAAAATTATTTTTTATCTAGTTTAACACCTCAAATGACTCTGGTATTGCACTATTTTAAAATTATATTGTGCTAAACTATATTTACTTTTTATGTTAATTGTTTAAGCAACAGGATGTTGATAATGAAACAACATAAGCGATCTGTATCAATTCATTATCCTATGTATAGTATAGGATATCAGTTTGGTAGTGGAACTCAAGATGAAACCCTCTCACAGCATAACTGGGAAGTCCCTAGTTAAACACTGACCACACATATTTCCACAGTAAGGTAAAACTTACAAGATCTCTTCGGCCATCACTGTCACAGAACACTGCTGCTTGTCCGTGTACAACACTTCCACACTCAGAACTTAATCTTGCACCTTCTTGTGAGCTCCTGTCAATATTATGAACAAGTGGCAAAGTATTCAATAATAAATATCTCATAGGCCTACATAATCTATATAACTAATATAGACAACTATTATATTTCTATTTTTTTTAAATAGTTGATTAATCTGAATTTTATATATAGTTTGTTAACTGCTTAGTATATCCCTATAAATATGTTACCAAATATTATGATCAAAATCATCATCAGATTCAAAATCATCCCTCAGAAGAAATGAATCGGAATTAACCTCAGTAAGTGCAGGCTTAACAGCCTCTATGGAAGAAGCTGCAACAACAAGATATAAACAGGGATAATATTATCTTCACAGATAGGTTAAAAGCAATGTATGAAATGATTTTACAACAGTGGAAAATATCAGTAGTGACAAAATGTATATAAGTATTGACAGAAAGATTTTACCTCCTTCTTCACAAAGCTGCATAACTGTGGTGTCTTTAAACAAGAGTTGTTGGCCATGAGTAGCAGTAGCACTGACAAAACAAATTAGTTACAGCTAGTATTAATAAATAGAGTACCATAACAAATTACTGTAAACACTAAATAAACAAATATAGTTTTTAACAAATCTTAAATCATTTGCAACATGTTGCTTAAATGTCAAGTTATAACTTAAATTTGATACGATAAGAATAAATAAAATTTAGTACAATGTTAAGAGGAGTTTTATTATACAACTTAAGATAACTTTGAATTAAATATTAATAATATTAATAAAGCAATAAGTGAAATATTAGATTGTGACCGGCACACTTCAGTTGGTAAAAATAAAAATAGTAAAATAGGAATAAAAGTAAAATAATTTAAAATTGATGAAATGGTTATGTAACTTACAGGAAATTGATGCAACCAGTTCCAGTAGGCGGTGCAAGCCACACAAAAGTGATTGACCTCATAGGCTGAGGACTGACTTGTGAGTGGACAATGGAACACATCAGGTTCTGTCCCCCCTGACTCAGTGCCTTGTGGGGCCTGCTGCCTGTCACTGTCTTGATATCTGCTGTTGTGGTGTACAGCCCTGTCATCATGAAGCTGTCAAATGTTTCACTGGACAGGATGTTTACTGTTGGGTACATAAAATTTTTTTATTTAAAATATGAACTGATATGTACATAAAGGTTAATTTGTTGTACATAAATGTCTGGGTATCTTTGGTTGGTGATCAGACAGCATTAGTCTTCAAAGATAACTTGCTTGAGGCTGTGAATTAATCTTGAGATGTTATACTTGGCTTTGATCAAGGGCTAAAGCAATGATTCTAGTAGGAATCATACAACATTATAAAGAAAATGTTGGAATAAAGTACATTTTATTGTTGGATCCAAATTAGTGTACATATTTATCACCATTGTTTCCTTTTCAAACCTGACGGTCTATGAGGCAAGTGAAGTAGAGTTCACTTGTTTCTGTGACCTCGGCATATGAAGAGATAGTGTGGTCAGCACTATGCCCAGCCGCCTTTACTTTCCCTAACGTGAGTTAGGTACTCATCAGAGTTGGGTGGACTCAGGGACGGTCTACTGACTTGAACCCGGATTCGATCTCGAGACTTACGGGTTAGTAGTCCAGCTCTCTACCGCTAGACCACTCCATACCCTTATCACCATAACCCCCACATTAAATCACTTAAGGCTAGGAGAAAACACATGAATACATAAAGCTAGATAAGAAATAGGTTGGAAATTCTATGAACTTGAAACCTAAAACCAAAAAATTAATTTAAAACACATATGTGAGTACCCAGTGTGTTGCCCCCAAAATAAGTATTCTGCATTACAAAGCATAAAAAATCAGCATCTGTGACAAAAACTTATTTATTAGTAATAGACTAGAAGATAAGTCAACATTAAAAGTTGTATCCAACAAGAAAGTGACAAATACAACTGAGTTTGGAAGAGAAATATTAATTTGCAGAACAAAGCCTAAGAGAAAACTGGCGTTGTTCATCAAGGTAGGTAGAAATGTCAGGTTAAATCTATTGTTAGAGCAACAACTCTCTTTTCTTTCTCTCTTTTCTTGAGCACAAAAATTTTAAACATATAAAAAGAAATGAATAGTGTATTTAAAAAAAAAAGAAAATTTACTTTGATAAAATTTTCCTGGGACATATGCCTGTGGGTTGCCTTCAATCTGCACACTGACCACAACATCGCCATTCTTCAGTCCATAGTTCTGTGTGGTCCCATGGTAGTTGCAGAGGAAGAAGAAAGGGGACAGATGGGGCACTGTGCTGCTGCTTGTGTGTACAGGACAGCATAGCAGTAACAGCAGGAGCACATAGGTGGAATGATGTGATAAAGCAGCTGAAAAATATATGTGAGATAGTTATATAAATGTATACACACACACACACATATATATATATATATATATATATATATATATATATATATATATATATATATATATATATATATATATATATATATATATATATATATATATATATATATATATAATATATAAATATATATATATATATATGCAGTTGCAAGGAATATATGAAACAGCATATTTAGTCAAATTTTGAAAATAATTAGTTTACTTAACTCACCATTATATAACAACATGTTGGAAAAATCACACTTGCAACACTATTCAAGAATAAAAAGTCTCTTAAAATATACACAGTTCATTCTAATGTAGGAGAGAGAAAAAAAAGATATTTCTACATCCTGTTTCACACTTCATAATCAAGTCTAAGCCAGAGTCTGCTCCCAGGGAAATTGCGTTTTAGGATGGTGTGAATGGAGGTATTAAGTTGAAAAGCAAACCTCATGCCATTCTTGTTTTTTTTTTTCACAAAAAGATAAAACTATCTCACCATTAGCAGGAGGAGATAAACCTCAGGTTGGTCTTTCAGTTATCACAAGGCTGATCTCCCCTGGCTACTCACTCCTTTTACCCCCCCTAAGAAATAACACCATCAACAAGTCATTATCTGCTCATAGAAACACAAAACTTCACCCAGTTTAAAGGAAATTGGTTAAACAGAATTTCACCCAGGTTTCTCTATGGTTTCTCTATATAGAAGTTTAACGATAAAAATATTTGTTTAAAGATTTAACTTTTTTTTAACTTTAAATAAAAAGAATTTAAGGTAACAACTTTTTAAAAAAACAATTGTTTAGTCTAGCTAATATAAATATAACTCCTATTAAATGAAGTAAATATAAAAATAGAATTTCCAAAATATTGTTCTTGTCATAAAATGGAACATTTTATTACATGGAAGCATGCTATTTTGAAGATAGCATAAAAATGGAAAGTTATTATAAACAGATATAGAGATACAGCATCATTTATCAAGGGGATGTAAAGTGCTATTTGTAAACATTAGAAACAATATTTACATTATTTAAAAGTGAAAACAGAGAAAACAACAACTTATTTTATTTGTCTTGAACTTAATACCCAACTTCCGCTGATTATAACGTTAATATTGAATAAAACTTGTTTAATTCTTATAAATTACAACTATTATTGTTTGGGGCATTTTATAAGCAATAAATGAATTTTTTAAAAGTTAATTATAAAAATTTAGGTTTGCAATTGGAATCTGGTAAAAAAAAAAGCGTGTTCAAAAATGTGTTTGGAATATAAAATAAAACAACCAATGCAATGCCATTTAAACTCCACATGATTAATAACTTGTTCTCCAAAATAGCTTTCTTAACCACTATCACAACAAAAAATGTTTACATTAAAATGATAAATATTCTGATAAACAGCTTAACACTAGAACCGAGTTAGGGATGGCGAAGGGGAATAACTCAGTTAATGCCTTTAACTGTGTAGAAGAACAGCTGTGAGTCTCAGTGTTTCATAAACAGATAAAATGTATTTTATCTATTGTTAAATAAACCAGATAAGAGTTGTGACTCATAAGGTTTTCTTCTTAGATATGTGTGAACACTATACAGAGTGTGTATGCCATCGTTGTCAAATATTCAGGACCATCAGTCCCAAACTTTTCAATCAGGCATACTTGATTTCCAATTAGATGTCATTTGTTGTGCAATACACAATTTACAAAAACTGAATAGCTTTAAGTTAGGAATTTGTCCAAATTCAATTTTGAAGAAGCAGTCATTTTTTTACCCTTACAATTTATTTCCATTAAAACAGGTTCAAATTCTAAACCAAGACAGGAATGAAATATTTGTAAATCTGAAATAATTAAACTAAAATGCTTCCTAGTATTATACATTTAATTTAAGTTTCTATAATCATTTGAGTCCACTGGGTGATATGTAGAGTATAATTAGTCCAAAAGAAAATACAGGAAATGAAACTAGGGTGGATGAGACACCTCAGGAAGGCATGGAGTAAAGCTCACAAGAGAAAAAGAGGGTTAAGACATGTGTGTCTTAGAGATCCTATGAGAGGGAGATGGGAGGTGCTTAACTAGCTTGGCAGGGGTATAAAAAAAATATCAAACAGATGATTCTGTTTTCAAGGGAATTAATAAAGAATACTTAATATCATAAATAGAATAATCTTTTATGAGATTTTAACAAAATTTCTATCAAAAATAAGTATTTCAATAGTATAAAACTTTAGAAAAACAAATTTAGCTGATTAGATTAATAAGTTGGAACATTGTTCCAATTTAACATTTTCAAACAAGCAAAAAAGGATTATTACTAATGTTCATTCACATAATATTTTCTTTTAATGTTCTTTTTTAATTTAAAACGATAAATTCAAACAAAAAAAATTATCGCAATTCAATTACCAAATAACTGATATCTTCAATATTTTTAAGCTAATCAAATATTAATTGATTTTGCTTTAATTTTTTTTTAGCCCATTCTATATAACATCTCAATTAAGGCTTTAACATTTAGTGTTGAATGACATAAAAAAGCATAACATTAATTAAACACAATAGAAAACAAAAACAAATTTAAAGTTAACTCAAAACGTAATTTATTTATAACAATGAGACTGACAAAATTAAAAAAAAATGAATGTAACTTATTTTTGTTTTTGTTAATTTAAGCTAACGAATGTAAAATTAGGTAAAATATAATTAAATAAACAGGAAATTGCAAAATAATTTACAACCACTGTCCACATTTAGCAACTAACCATGAATAATTTATGGTAAATAACAAGCCTTAGTACTTAGAAAGTTTGTATACTTAGGAAGTGTTTCTTTTCTTACAGAAAACTTATTTATAAGAAAATTAACAAAGATCCTGATTAATACACTAGTTTTAATAAAACATGGCACTAAATGATCCTTTATATTATGTAAAATATATTGCAATTTTATCAATTAGAAACTAATAACAATATCAATTGCTTTAATAACAATAAAAGCTACTTTTTGAAACAACCATATAACAAACATGAATTATTTTAAGTTACATTTATTTTCCTTCAAAAAATGCACCTTCTATCTTTACAAGAAGTCGTATAGGTACCTCATAACATCAAACTGAACAGTCCTAAGAAAGACAAAAAATAATTGCAAACATTATTTCAGGCCAAAAATGATGTCACGCTATTTTAGTAGTGAAGTTGCAAAATTAAGCCCACCTCAAACTAAGAAAATGATACTCTTTTAAAGAATTCTATATATATATATATTAAATCATAAATCTACCCCATCCCAGATAGCATAAAGTCAGAAGAGTAGAATCACCCTCCTCTCTAACTGTATGAAGTCATTTACAATCAATAATCCAGTAAAATCACAATCTGGATTACAGCAGAATAATCAAGCTATAAAATGCAATGAAAATTAAAAAAAAAAAATTTGCTTTCTTTAATTTAAAAGCATTGGTCGCCAAAATGTGAAAGTGATTTCACGAGAAACCAGTGCTTTTATGAAAGAAAGCAAATTTAGTTTTAATTTCTTATTTTCAGTGCATTTAATAGCTTATAATTTTAAAAGGTTATTTTAACGCATTATTATCCACCTTTTAGTAATCAGTTTTAAAAGAAGTCTACACCATTTAAGATTAAAAATATTTGCTCTAAAACCTGATTGGTAGTTTGCAATTTCTAAAAAATACAATTATCTGCCCTTAAATGTCAGAGGTCAATTCTCAGGAAAAAAAACCAACCATCTGTGAAAAAAAACTGCTCACTGCCGCTTGATAGCTAATCAAACCATTGCTAGTATTTAATCATGTTATCTCCCCTTTAATTATTGAATTAAGGAATCTTTTGATCAAATTTTAATGACTTATCTCAATCCTAATGAGATTTAAAAATTAGATTTTCTTGCGTTGTCATTTGAAATGAATGTATCTTGAATGCATCATTAGAAGTGGGTAAAAATTTGCTACAAACCTACAAACATTGTAAACTAAATAAAAGCTTGTAAAAATAGTCAACATAAATTTGTCTCACCTGGCGATAGACCTTATGAAGTCTAAATTCACCATACATTTGTATTTAGGAGCTGCTATTTTGTCTTCTCCTCCAATCTGGCTAAGAAGATGAAGACTTACTAAAGAGCTGATCTGTATTTATTGGAAGATAAAAATGCTCAGATTTAAGTAATAATAAATAAGTAGAGCACTCAATTTCTATCTTGAAAGTCTTAACTTCCATTAGGCATTGGGACAATAATAATAATAAATATGTTATAATGGTAAAAACAAAAGGCGCAGAGGCTTTTTTTTCTCATATAGGCAGTTATTATGAAAAAGCAATTAAATATTAAAGACATAAACACTGTGCCTACTACCTTGCTTAGAAGAAATAAGCACAATGTTTTGTGCTCATAAGACAAAATTGTTGGAGGCTAAAACAAGAAGCCTAAATATCATGTATAGGACAAAAGATGTTTATTTTTTACTGATAAAACTTAGATTTCCTAATCTTCACTCAGATGAAGATCATTATTACCATATCCTTATACTTATACTAACCCCAATGCTAATTGAATTTATTTTACATGCACTACAGAAAAAAACGTTGGTTTCCAAACCCATAACTGCTCACCCACACCGACACATGTCTTGACTAAAAGAATTAAGTCTTTTGTATATAAAGTCAAATTGGAAATTCAAATAAAAAAATAATACCTGTACATAAATATGAGCTGATGGAATGACATTTCCTTCAACAATAGAGTAGAATATAGCCATTAAACGATCAATAGGAAACATTTTTGGTCCAAGTAAATGGTTACTTGCCTGTGAGAAAAAGAAAATATCTACATTGTAAGGCAGTTGCAAGTTACAATAATTGCAATAAACTTTGGTTTGTGTAATTGATTGCGTACTAATAACTTGATTAGTTAAAACAGTTATCTGTGAATTTTACAATCATCAAAGAAAAGTACCTACATCAATATTTAAAATCTAACATTGACTGGTGTAAAATAGTTTTGCTATAGTGACAATTGGATTAGGTTTCCTTGGCTATTATTACAATTTGCTGTATGATAAGAGAAGGTGATGTGCATGAAACTATTTTTCTTTAAAAAAAACTAAAAGGTTGAACAAAAAAATGATGAAAATGTTTGAAAGAACTTAATTATGGGTATTTCAAGAGGATAAGAGGAGTGAAAAGGGCTGAAGCAATGCCTAGTTTTTTGTGATGATGTAAGTAAATTAAACATGCTTACTCTTTCATTCTTTTTAATAAGTTTTGAACGTCTGGATGTTTTGCCAGAATTCTGAAAGAAAAAAAATACAATGATAATTGTCAATAGCAAAATGTCTTATGTGGATTGTAAAAAATTTCAATAAAATTAATTTAAAAAAAAAAATAAGCAGAAAGTAATTTGTTGATAGTATGAAAGCTTTGGGCCATAACTAATTGCACCTAAACATAGCGCAGTGAAAATAAAACATACCTTAGCAAAAAATCTTCTGTCATATTTCATGGGATTGTATGAAGCTAGGTATGCAGCAATAAGCAAAAACTTGGAATAGTAAGGGAGTTCCACATGAGTTCTGGATGGGGTTGCTAAGAATATGATGCAAATGAATTATAAACTCCTTGAAATTCACACCACAATGAATGTGTTTGAAATAATTTGTATTTTATACCTATTAAAATTATTATGATGATTTCACAACAACTGTTTTTTAATCAAATGCACATGCATGTATAGATGACCTGCTGTATGAATGTAATAATTAGTCTGAATTAGCAACTGAAATTCTCATAATGAAGTGACAGTAACTTGTAAGTATTACAAAAACAAAGTTAAATTAAACTGATTTTAACATTGATAGAATACGGGTTAAAATAATGTGGATTTACCATTTTTTCTAAGCTTGAAAAAAGAAAATTTAATTTTTTTTTTATTACCTTTAGCAAGATCAGAATCAGGGTCTTCCAGTTCTGCTTGCTGCATCTGTTCCCACTGTCGACTAAAACAATATAGAATATAATAGGACTATAAAATAAACATCTAATTATGATTAAAAAATATAGCACAAAAATATATAATTCAACTTAATTATTAATTAAATTAAAATCACATTGATAACTGTGTTATTGAAGAAGGGACAAAAACATTGTAGATCCCTTACCTTGATACCTCTCTTAAGTAAACACCTTTCAGTGCTTTCTTAAGGTGTGGCTCAATATTTCTCCACAATTTTTTAACATTGGCCACTTGTATTTCTCCTCTTTCCACAGGTTCTATAAAGTAAGGGTAATTAAGACGAGCCTACAAAAATAAGAAAAATCAATTTTAAAAACATTCAGGGCTAGTCTTTTTAAACATTTTTTTTAAAGTAAAATAGATCTAACAAAAAGAAGACAAAAAGTATAAAATATTCAAAACAAATTAATTAAATTTATTACCCATAAAAGTGAATAAAATAAAAAGACTAAAAATTGTATGCATTACTTACAATATGTCTTAGTTCCCGTAAATCTCGACAAACCATATGGAAAACTGACAAAACAATATTCACATACATGGCATAAAGATCTTTTTCACAGGTAGATGGTGTATCGAGACACATAATTTCCATAAGTTCTTCTGCAATCAATAAGTAGAAAGATCATAAATTAAAGTTCAATAATTAGGCACTACACTAACAGCTTTAACTTTTCTACACACAAATGTTCACTATCCTTTGATCCATTATTTGTTAAAATACTATTTTGTATAATATTTAAAGCAAAAATACTCTATTATAATATCCGATCAGTCCAATTTCAGTGACTAATTGGATGTGTTGTATTTCTGCAACAAATAGACCTACCATTCAGATATTACTGTCTACAGCCTTACCTATCCATTGCACCAGATTCGAACACTGAACAATGTAAGTTGGCAGCAGTAGATTAAATCTGCTGTTTATCATGTTATCATGACAAAACTACTCTTTTGTTTGTAAATAGCTATACACAAAAATTATCACTTTATATTATAAATACAAGGGCAATGCCTAGAATGCAGAATCATTTCCAACAACTTTTTTAGATAATTTATTTTTAGAACACATTTTATTTAAAATCTTCAGACTTGAATCTCAAAAGGCATTATATTAGAAACACTTACGTTTATTGTAGTCTGGAAAATGGATACAATAAGGCTCATAAAATCCTGTTCCAGTCCTAAATTTTTCCCACACAACTTCAGATATCAATATGACACAGACATTAAGCCCTGACTAGAACAGATTAAAAACCAGGTCAAATGTAAACAAAAAATATGTAGTATAATATGCAGTATAAATATTTTACAACCAATTTTGAAATCAGAACAAAAATTTTTTTACCAGTTCTTGCAAACGAAGGACAGCTGGAAGAAGATTAACATTCCCGTCTCTAAATCTTTCTGCTTTATCCAACACCTAAAATTACACCAAAGAATGAAAGAAGAATAATGTTTATGGTTGAAACAGCTACCATAGTAATATTTTGCAACTGACTACTATATAAATTATAAGCAACATTTAAATACAGCCACTAAAAATAATTGTTACGTTATTTATCAAACTGAATTATCCAAAATGCTTACGATATACAGAGTTTGATCTCTGAGAGATCTATCAGACACAGTTTTGACTAGCTGGCGAATAAAATCAGTCATATCATCACAATGTAAGTAATCATCATCCTCATCATCATTTGAATTGGTTTCTGTAGGGGATCTTGTCTCATGTGGTGTGGGTATATTGTTCAGAATATGTTCAAACAGAAATCTAGCACTTGAGCATTCAACACAGTTGACCAAAATATGTGGCAGCTAAAAGGAAAAAAAAAATTACTTCTTCAAAAACTAAATTGTTGGCGTGTTTATATATGGCCTTGGGAGGAAGGGGTGCAGGGGAAATGATAAAATGTCATATTACAGATGACAATTTTTTAATTATAATGGTTCTTTTCAATCAAGTGCATTATGAAACTTTCACATTGTTTTTATTTTATTGGCAGGGTACAGCCTAGCTATTTATAAAAAAATATTGCTATGCTAACCTTAACAGAAAAAACCCTCAAAATACAATATGAAAGACTTAATTAATCTCTTTCTTTGGTTTTAAGCAACCTTCAAAATAAGAATAAGCATTTATGATGAATACCACAGAAATTATTTTACTTTCAGGACGATGAAGTATATTTTCACGGACTATCAAGATAGTGGTACTACTGTAAGCGATTTAAAAAAATGCTTCTGATGTGAACCTGTCTGAATGAGTAAAGCCCAGTATAACTTGTGCACTGTGATATACCTATCTACCTTATTAAATGACATACAACTAATTCTAATAACTAAAATGGTCCTGAAAATAGCTGACATTACAAACCTTGTTGCATGAGAGTAGTGACTGTATAACTAAAGATTTGCCTGTGCCTGTGTGCCCATACACAAAAAGTGCACCAGGAGTCATGTGACTTCTCTAAAAGTGAAAAACAAGAGTTAAACCACAGAAAGCATCAAAAGATTTTAATTGCAAACCGGAATAATTACAATGGTGACCAATAACATATCGAGTTGATAAGGTGAATGTTATAAATTACCTAAACAATTTTATTGTATACCTATTTCTTATTTCAGAATATCTTTTAATGATAAATAAAACAAACAATAGTATTAGTAGGCTACCTGGCCGAACAAGGATAAGAGCATTTTTATTTGTTGTTGCCGACAACATATGTTATTGTCAGTCAAACAGTCTACATCTTCTGTTGATTTTTCTAAGGGCAATTCCACTTCCATCATAAAATTTTTCTTCTGTGCATGAATTAAACTGCAGAAAATGTTTAAAATTAAAACACAGATGTCAAGTTCAATACTGCTTTAAATAAATATCACTGCGACTTTAAATTAATATACTTTTCTTAAAGTAAGCTAATAATATTATGAAATTGCTACAAAGATTGTGATTATCTTCTTCATTTCTAACAAAAACAATTAGTAATATGAGTAATGAGTTGGAACAAGTTGTAAATTATGTTTGTTTTTTGTGGGATAATAGATATCAGCCTAGAATCTAGTTTCTAAACTAGAATAATTTAGATCTATTTTGTATTGATAGCAGATATCTAGAATCTAGTTATACTTATACGATGAACAAATTGCTAATGAGGTCAGTAAAATTTACGAAGTGACTACTCGGAAAAAGATTTTTTGCCTCAGCATCTCCACTTGGTCAGCAAAAGATAGTTCTGCGCATGAGCAGTGACCTTAATAGCTGAGCTATGGTTAGGGTTAGAGTTCTATGGTTTGTTTGTAAACACATGCATGCGCAGTACCATCAAAAACATCATGATGAAGGAAAGTCGTAGTTTCTCTCCATTGCACATGCGTATCTTTTTCCGACTAGAATCGTTCTAAATTTATTAGTTTTATTGAGGCATGACAGACAACACTATGCATTTGTGGTATGAGCCTGACCTGTTTCAATGAGATTGTTTATATTTTATTGTTTTGAGTTTATAGTTTATATTTTGAGGCCATGGGTTCGTTCTGCATGGGATGGAAAGTACTACAAAGGGTAGATTCCGAATAAATATTGATTATTATTATTGTCCCATCTGGATTTCTAGATCTGGAATCCAGTAAATAGTGTGTGTTAATAGTGTTATTAAGTTATTAGAGTTGAGACATAGAAACCTAGCTACTAGAATCTACTCTAGGCTAGAGTGTAGAGTAGGGCAGAGTTGTGTGTGTAGTCAGTGTGTAGAACCTAAATCTTTCTAGATCTAGATCTAGTCTAGATCTAAATCTAGTAGTAGATCTAGATCTAGTAGTAAGTGCTTGCACACACTCTCACTCTCAGCCAGATTTTAAATTTAAATGAATTTAGTCTAAAGTCTAAATCTGGGTAAAACTCCATTTCAGCGTATTTTATTCTCCGTTGCTTGTTTACCTCCAGTTGAGCGTATTTTATTATAACAACCGAAACACACCAAAACATTAGGAAAACACGATTTATTTTTTGTATTGTATTTTTGTTTTAGCAAATGAATAAAAATGAATATTTAAAAAAACACGACTTGTTTATTTGTATTGCATTTTTTAAAAAAAAGGCATTTGTCTCATGGTGAAACTGATACACTGTTAATCATTCTGTTTTATATTTTTGTATTTATGCAATAAATGTACAAACTCTGTGTTTTTTAATTTGACAGTTTTGCTAAAACTGAAAAAAATTTTTTACTATAGAGTTGTATGATATTTTAATTCATAGTAAATCTACCATCCTTCCCTTTTTTGTATGAGTAAATTTCTGACTTTAAAAAAAAAATTGATGTGGGGTCGTCCATAAATGACGTCACACTCGTAAGGGAGAGGGGGGTCAGCAATTTTGTGACGGTGTGTGATGAGGGGGAGGGGGTGGGGTTTCAGATGGTGTGACGTCCCTTTTTTGCATTATAAAAAAGCAATGTTAGAAAAACAAGTTTTAGCCGCTATTTCGCGTTTTAGAAAACGGTTTTAATAAATTGTAATATGAATTGATCAAAATACTCTATGTTGACAGAGTTCTGACAAGATTTTGGAAAAATTATCAATGTTTTAAGAAAAATTCAACAGAAATTTTGAGGGGGGAGGGTTGTAGGCTGAGGTGTGACGTCATTTTAGGGGGGGGGGGGTCTGACTTTTTGTGACGACGTGTAACAGAGGGGAGGGGGGAGGTAAAAATCGTAAAAAAGCGTGTCGTCACAAAAAGCAAGACCCCCCCCCCAAATGACGTAGCACCATCTGAACCCCCCCCCCCTCATCACACACTGTCACAAAATTACCCCCCCCCCCCTCCCCCTACGAGTGTGACGTCATTTATGGACGACCTCTAACATTATTTTTTTTAAAATGACAACGTGAGTTGTCACACTTTCTCTAACACTCCAAGCCATCCCTCACCAAATTCCACCCCCCCCCCCTCGGCCCACTTTCGGCAGCATCATTGTGCCTTTTAATACTTTTATTCAGTTTAGTTGAAATTGGAACACTTAATTGTACAAAGTGTGCATCTCTATTTTTGTAACCAACAAACAAAGCAGTTCAGTCAGTCTCTTTGTTGTTTTTTATTCATTTGTTAAAACAAAAATACAATACAAATAAATAAGTCGTGTTTTTTAAACATTCATTTTATTCATTTGTGAAAACAGAAATACAATACAAAAAATAAATCGTGTTTTTCTAATGTTTTGGTGTGTAATGGTTATTATAATAAAATACGCTCAACTGGAGGTAAACAAGCAACGGAGAATAAATGGACACGAGCGAGAAAACTCTCAAAGGTATTTGAGAGGTGTATAAATTAGTTTTAAAATCAGGCACGGCGTAGTTACAATTAATATGGTTATAAAATCCTGTCTGTCTGGTTTATTTCGGACTTTACTAAAGATTGGGTCTATTTGATGTTTTAAAAATTTTCGGTAACTAATTGAAAATTTAAAAACAAGCCAAAACAATTTGGTTTTCACGTGTAATGGCGACATAAACAATGGCATCCTGCTATTGGATAGGCCGACATTGATTTTATTGTACACATTGTAAGCTAAAAATAGAAAACTAGGTAATGGGGTTTTTAATTTGCATTGTTATTTAAAAACTTGATCTGCAAAGTTTTGTAAACAAATAGTTATCGATCACTAAGTTACTGTACAGCCAATCAATGTTTGTCTTACGAAAGTGAAACATCCGGTTTTAACTTAGGCTTGATGAAAATAAATAGAAATGTAGCCTTAAACTCAACAAATTATTTTCAAGTTCTCTGGATTTGCAACTTTTATAGCATTTATTCTAAAAATATAAAATTTCTAAATTAATTTTAGGCTTAAGTTTTTATTTTTTATTTTTTTTTACGGTCTAAATCTAAAAAGCACGTTTTTTATTCCATGTCAACAATATTATGGAAGGAATCTCGTCAACTCGCTTGTCTCCATTACGCTAAAATGGAGTTTTACCTAAATCTGACAAGATCTGGATCTATTCTCTATCTATTTTTTTTCTAGACTCATCATAGATCTCTGATCTAGAATCTAGACTAGAAATCTAGATTTAGATTAGATTAGGCCCTATATTTATTTTTACTATATTATATTTTAATATTTTAGTTTTAGATTTTTAGATCTAGAATTCTAGATCTAGGCCGGTCCCTCTACTTTACTATACTGAGATACTCTATCTCTGACTCTACAGATTGAATTAATTAGATCTAGAGTCTAGGCCTAAAGTCTAAATTCTAGATCTAGACGTCTAGATTCTAGATCTAGATCTAGTAGATCTAAATCAGACTAGAATCTAGATCTAAATCTAGATCTAGATATCTAAATTCTATATTAGATTCACAACAACACGGCTTACCGAAATTGAAATGGTGTGTAAAATTATTATCAGGGGCATTCACTCTTATCATTCCCGCGGTTTGAAGCAGACGAAGTAGGCCTAACCTACTATTTTAGCCTACGGTTCTACTGAATAAAATAATTTATAGAAATGTATCGCAATTTTACCCCTGTTATCTTCTCGGTAGTTTCTAATACTTCTATTCCTTATTTAGATCTAGAGTCTAGATCTTATACCAGCGACTAACAATAATAATAACTGAAAACAAAAAGTATTTTAATTTTAGCTTATTATTTATTTACGTTATTTGAAAAAAAAAAGCACGGGGATTGCAAGTTGGGGGGAGGGGGGGGGGGGGATTTCATCCATAAATGACATGACTTTTTTTTGGACAATTTTTTTTACCTTCCCCCTCCCCACCGGCACAAATTGTCACAATAGGTGTGACGTCATCCACTAAAATGACGTCACATCTCAGTCTACAACTCTCCCTCTCAAAATTGCAGTTTATTTTTTTTAACATCAATTTCATTAAAAACAAAATAGATACTGATTTCGGTCAGCATTGATTATATTAATAAATTTCTAATACAATTTACAAAAACAACTTCCTAAAACGCAAAATAACTGCTAAAATTCAGCTTATTACATAACTTTTCAACATTTGCAAGAATGTGACAAACTTGCTTACAGAAGTCTAGTTAAAGTTGTAAGCTATAGTCTAGTATATTTTTTTTTTAATAATGATGCCACACTATTTGTGTGGGCGACGGTGTCTAAGAATAAGCGTTGTCTTTAATGTGGCAAAGTTTGTTAATTTAAAAAAAATATTTTTTAGTGTGTTAAAAACATTGCATGTGAGGCCTAGGTAACAAAAAGTCTTTATCCATTTAATAGGAAGCAGAGGCGTAGCGACCCCTCCCGGCGCCCGGGGACAAACTTTCAATTTGGTGCCCCCCCCCCCATTTTTATTTCTAATTCAAAATAGCAGCTAAAATGAGCTTTATTTTGGCGCCCAAAGGATCGGTACCCGGGGTCATATGTACTATCTCCGTCGCTACGCCTTTGAGTAGGCCTTTGTGTCGATGTAAAGTAGCTAACGTGAAGTAATCCATGAGAAGGAGTAATGTGTGTATACACGTGTGGGGGAGGTAACACACACGTTTTAAAAAGTAGTTTTTTTTAACATCCCTTATAATTCGATAAAAATACTCTGATATTTTTATTCAAGAATAAAGCATACTGTCTGGTTTGTTTTATTTACAACAAATAAGCGACATGCAAAGCTATCCGTGTTAATACGCGATGATCAGGAGACAATAAACAAAAATATTAACTCCCGGTCAAATTTTATACCATATCAAACAGACGGCGATTAAAATATTTTAAACAGTTAGGCCTATATAAAAAAAAAAAAAGCAACATAAGGGTATTTATACAGCACAGAACTGCGGGACAGCGATTCAGGTAGGACAACCGGTATGCGCGCAGCTCAAAACTGGACGGACTGGTTTCGTGTGTATTACATTGTATGAATGGTGTTGAAAATCTATATTTGTTACCCAGTGGGTGAAGGAAATGTGTAGTGCGCATGGTTTGTGACAGTCTTTTTTTACCGGACCCTAGCCTCACCCAAGAAAAAAATATATCAACACGGGGATAATATAATCATAATTCTTCTGTCAAATTGACTTAATTAATCGTTACTCAGTCTGAGGCTAGTGTTGTGGGGTCTTGTGTGAAGCAGTGCCTTGTGGAGTAACTCAAATAATTCAAGTAAGTGCTTACTTCTAGCAGTAGTTTCTATGGTCATTTTAACTGCAAATTAGTCATTATAATTAATCTTAAGCGGTGTGTCTACTCACGCCTGACTATTATACACATAATCTTTAAGTCTATAATTACGTAAACAGGTTTATTCTCCCAAGTATAATTTCTGAGTTTAAGGGATTCACGCAAAGTTGGTTAAAACTATTCCACGATTAGCAGCAAACTATGAATTGAAATAATTGGACCATTTCGATATCGAAACAAAACATTAAGAAACAAAACACAAATGTTTACTGGGTTCAATTTTTAAATATCTAACAAAGTAAATAAGTATAGTCAATAATACAAATAATTCCGTAGTGTATGTTATAAAGTACAAAACAGTAAAATACAAACAAAAAGGGACTGAACACACCCAGGTATTTCAGCGCGGCTACACCCATCTTTGTATTGATTAGTGAATATAGTTGAGTTATCGTTCTTTAAATTGTGAAAACCCCCACTTAGGACTAACGCTTGTTTTATTATATTAAAAAAATATAACTGCATTTTGATAGTAGATAGTACATCTGTATGTAGGCCTATATTTTTAAACTAGCAAAATAAAGTTTCGTCAGATTGGTGATAAACAATTGACCTACTTGTAGAAGTTATGTGCCATTAAATATTTAGGTAGACGTGTATTACACAAAGATTGCCCTTTTGGCAACGCTTTATTAATTTAATACGATATATTATCATTTTACATTATATATATATACACAAAGATTGCCCTTTTGGCAACGCTTTATTAATTTAATACGATATATTATCATTTTACATTATATATATATATATATATATATATATATATATATATATATATATATATATATATATATATATATATATATATATATATATATATATATATATATATATATATATATATATATATATATATATTGATAGAGAATGAACAATAAAGAGAAATTTGAAACTCTATATTGGAAACGGTAGCCTCATTCATATCTTTAAAGGGAGATTTTTCCATAAGTCTACCATGAAAATCATCTAGATTTCATATAATTGTTTTACACGTTTTAGAAAATACACAATAAATGTGTGTACAGTCCATCTTGTTGAATATATTTTTCTCACAGTGATTCGAACCCGCCACCAATCCGCTGAAGAGTCAATCAACCATGCATACAAATACTTCGTGGGATTCCGTTCAACTCCGTCACGTCACTGTTCACTACGCATTCAACGTTAGCTGCCGTGTTAACACATTATTCATACACGTATTAAAGCACGGGTTCCCAACCTGGGGGTCGCGACCCCCCTGGGGGTCGCGAAGGTCTTTCTGGGGGGTCGCCAACTGGTATACTAAACCTTAGTAATTTGAAACAAAACAAAAATATTTAGAAGAATTTTTAAAATTCGGCTTCATTAACATCACTGGAAATGTAATAGAGAAGAAACAAAGCGCACTGTACAAAGTTGTTCTCAGTCATGAATCTATGAAATCTTCAAAACTAAAACGTCATTTGAGACGAGTCATTCGGAACACACCAAAAAATATATGGAGTTCTTTCGTCGGTAAGAAGCTAGTTGCAAACGCCAGAGACTTGATCGAACAGGAAGTTTTCACCAGCATTAGTTCAAGCATCAAATGAAGTCACGATAGAAAATGCCAAGCAAAAAAAAAACAAACAATAGGAGAAAATCTCATCAAACGCTGCATGTACGTCAATGTTAAATAACACATTTTTATTGAAATTAAGCTTTCACCATTGTTTGCTTTTCAAGTTGATAAATCAACAGACGTGAGTTCGTGTTCGCAGTTGCTGGTCTGTGTCTATATTCATGCGGATGATAGCAAAGAAGAGTTTCTCTTTTATGAAGATAGCATGGAGAAAATAAATACCTTTTTTGAAACTGGATGATTAAAATGGGTTAGAACGGCTGTGGGGGTTTGTACGGATGGTGCGCCATGTTTAGCTCAAAATCGGGCTGTCAGAAAACAGAAAAGATTTAGCTCCCTAACCACTGCCCTAACCAATCGACATCAAGAGTGCATTGCTAGTATAACTTAGTATAAGTCGTAAATTATATAAAATCTGGAGCCTTCAAAGAACTAAGCAAAGACATGAATAAAGATCACGAGGTTCTGCTTTTCTACACTACAGTACGCTGGCTGTCAGACGAAATGTTGTAAATTGTGTTTTTGAATTGAAATCTGAAATCAAATTGTTCTTGGAAGTGCAAAGGAAACAAGACTTTTTGTTATACTTAAAACGACATAGAGTGGTTGGAGAGAGTATCATACCTAGCAGATGTGTTCGAACATCAAGATAAGCTTAACCTGAAGCTTCAGGGAAAATGAACGAATATTATAACTTTCCATGATAATATCAGGGCATTTTTATCAAAGCTGCAAAATCGGTAAAGAAAATAAATCTTGGAAATATTGTAAATTTGAGAAACTCTGCGGTGTGGTAGATGAATCTGATTGTGAGATAATTAAAATTTTGAAAGAAGCGATTTCTGGGCATCTTGAATCTGTTGAAAACTAACTGCATCGCTATTTCTCTGCGCTGAAAAAAGAAAAATCAGCATTTACGCATTACCCATTCTCTTCTTCCCTTGATGTTGCCAGCATTCCCGATGAATTACAAGATAAATTCTTTGATTTGTAGAATGATTCCGAGTAAGATGAAAAACTGCAGATACAATTTTGGTGAGGTATTTACCATTCATACCCAAACGTAAAATTTATTGACTTTTCGAGAATATATTTTCAACACTATTCTTCGATTAAAAACAAAATTATGATAATTATAATGACATAGGTTGGCGTTAACAAAAAATTTTTTAAATTAAAAACTTAACCACGAAGGTTTAGTGAATAGTATGCAATTTTGCTCATGCTATTAAAACATTTATCAAGAGTAGTTCATATTGAAAGTCTACTAGAAAATCTTATTTTAGTGCTTATTAATTTCCATACTAATTTCGGCTTTTTAATTCAATGGGGGTCACGGGTCACTTATTTTTTATAAAAGGGGGTCGCCACTCGAAAAAGGTTGGGAACCACTGTATTAAAGGTTACCATTTGGGTGTGTTCACTTCTCCCTAACGCGATACCCTTTTGTTATGCTTGAAAGATATCTTCGTTACAGCTTTTAAAAATTAGTCATCCTAGATAGCCGGACAGTTCTAACTCCCACATTCCATGCTATGGTAAAAGAAGTAGATGAACTCTACTTCACCCACTTCTCAGGGTAAAACGAAGGTGTATTTGTAATATGAATGTTGCATTATGTATGAAGCTGGGAAGATAGCAGCCCCCACCCTTAAGAAATTGGGGGTGGGGGGGGGGTGGAAAAGAATGCATGGAACGAGTATTAGACTTCAGCTAATTTAGCTTATTCTCTTAGTACTTAACTATCAGCAACCTTTCCATCTTTTTTTTTTTAAGAGGAGTTCATAGACGGACAGTTTTAAATATAAAAAAATACATCTTTCATAATGCTTTCTTTAAGAGCTGGAATACAAACGTAGTTTAATATTTATTTTTCTCGACATATCAACATTCCTGTGGATGCCTTGTGCGGCATAAGGACGCACTTACAACGTAATGTAACAATAGAACGAGGTACGCCTAATCAAGATGCTATTCTCGTCATAAATTTGGGCTAAACAAGACAGCATCGCGGTACGGTGTGGTACAAGCAACCGTCCCGAGTGCATATCGTTTAATTGGGGGCATTTTTACGTGTAGAATTTTAATTGCATTAACAGCCTTGGGTGGTCTTTGTTTTTGTTATTGCCGTGGGCATAACTTCCCCTTCCTTCATGTACTAGTGGGCGTCTGCCCCTCCATATATCTTGTCCTTAACAGATTTCTGACATTCCTTTGGGTCTGCTAATGGGCATCTTCCACTTGTGTAGCCTTGTGGCATCTTTATTTTCTAGCATGCCATTGTTACCTGCCACTTACTTTACACGCCATAGTGGAGTTCTCCCCCCTTAGCTCATGGCTCATTGTCTCCCTTACCTCAAATCATAGTTGGTCTTTATTTTGTAGCATAATAATTTCTTCATTTAATTTCTCTCCTTCCATAATTGGTATCTTTCCCTTGCTTGAAGCTCAATGGGTATCAATCCTTCCATTTTGCGTAAGCGGGTTTATTAGTTTATTCCCTATAGTCCATGCCGTAATAAATTTGTATCCCTTTATTTAAGCCACGCCCCCCCCTTCCCCCCCGCACTGGATTCCATTCCCTTATTTTTTAAATGTCATCTTAGCTCCTGCAATATTGGCATATCTCCATCACGCAATAATTCAGAGGGCATTTAATCCTTCCTACATTATATGGTGGCATCTTCATTGCGTAAGGCATTGGCATATTTCCATTCTGCCACAACATAGAGGGCGTGTTATTCTCCCTATGTTCAATAGTGAACTTCAGTGGCGTAGGCAGGGGGGAAGGGTTAGGGGGGGGTCAGAACCCCCCCCATAGACCCCTCGGTAGATACATAAAGTTTGAGCGGGGGGGGGGGTGCAAATCAAAAGTTTGTCCTCTGGGGCCGGGTAGGGACGCTACGCCTCTGATATATACATTTGTAATGCGGGAAAAAATTTGAACACCCCCCCCATGAGACGATCCTGGCTACGCCACTGGTGAACTTTACTTTTTCCCCCATCCAGTAAGGGGAAATATCTTTTAAAAGCCAGCAGAGTCATACACTGACAAAATCCATGTGTGTTGACGTGGTCCATCTTTTGTCGCATTGGCTGTCTTGGGGGTTCATAATTGTTTTCGGGAACAATCTTGTTACATTTGACTTTTCTCATAAGTGTAAATGCTTCTTTTGTCACTTTTATGGGTAATAAATGTAATTAAATAGTTTTGAAAAGTCCTTGTTAAACCCAACCTTTATAATAAAAAAAAATCTCAGATATTTTAGATGCTTGTGTTAGACTCGTGCTCCCCCCCCCACACACACACACGCACACACACGCTTTGCACCTGAAAAAAAATACAGCAATCTGTTAAAAAAACATGAGTTAATTTCTCTCGCCACACCTGGTGTCTCTATTTTAAGACACCCCCCCCATCCCCCTTACTTTAACCCGACCCACCCACCAATGTCCTCTAAAAACAGTGTAGACAAGGATTCTTATTCGACCCTCAGGACTTTACGAGCAAATAGAGAACTCTAAAAACTGTTAGAACTACTTCGATTCACGAGTTTCTGTGAAAAGGTCTTCCTTTTAAAAGTAAATAAAGCTAAGATACATAAGGATCTAACCTTCATGTACAATATGAACGCATTTCTGTGACCGTATATTTACCAACGACAAGGTTAGTATATTTAAATACGTGATAGCACGTATTATATAATAAATAAGATCAACAACTCAAAGAACTGGGAGCAGCAGAATAGCCAATAGGTTAAGGGTTAAGGTCACGACTAGGATACAAAATAATAGTCTGGACTTAAACGGTTAAAGATACTATTATAATGCAGGTTAACAGCTAAGACAACAAGGGTTAAAGGCAGTGGCGTAGCGAGGTCGGGTGTCACCCGGTGCGGCACTTAATGGTGTCACCCCCCAGAGGCGTAGCGACCCTTCCCGGGAACAAACTTTCAAATTTTCGATTTGCACCCCCCTCAAGTTTTTCTCTATATATTTTGCTATTTTTTGTCTTGGTGTCATCCCCCTAAATGGTGTCACCCGGTGCGGTCCGCACCCCCCGCACCATTATAGTTCATAATAACAGCCAAGACCAAAAAGGTTTAAGTCACAACTGAAACAGATGAATAAGCAAGACCAAAGGGGTTAAAGAGATGACTAGGGCGCAGATGAATATCCAAGATGAAAAGGATTAAGGGGATTATGATGATACATTTGAATATCCAAGACTATAAGGGTTAAAGCCATGACTATGATACCATAAGAATAGCCAAGACGATAAACGTTAAATAGATGAATAGCTAAGACTAAAAGGGTTAAAGTGACCATAATGATAATATATGAATATACTAGACCTAAAGCTTACAGACAAGACTATAACGCCAATGAATAGCCCAGACTAAAAGGGTTAAAGGGACGACTATGATACTATATGCATAGACTAGACCAAAAGCTTACAGACTCGACTATAATTCAGATGAATAGCCACGACCATAAAACATAAACGTCTATTAGCCCACCCAGCTCTGAAAGATCCTTTCAGGCATAACGGTCCCCGGGCTAGTTATTTGGACAACTATTTTTTTAATACTAAATTTGTATTTTGTTTCCACAGGGCACGAAAATGATGGCCCCTCAGTTCAACCCCGACACCGCCAAAATCTACCACTTCCGGTACATGCGAGAATACCGAGCAGTCTCGGTCTTGTGGGCGGTTTTGACTATAATCTGGTGCATTCTAAATATCGTCTGCTTCGTGCAACCGCAGTGGATCGGCGACACGGAAGAATCAGCTGGGTACGGTCACATGGGCGTGTACGCCTACTGCTACCCAGACACCATCACGGCCAAGTACCTGTGTACCGGAAGTTTCACGGACTTTGACACCATCTTGAACGGCCCCTTCAAAGCGACCACCTTCTTCTGCGGCGTGGCGGCGCTGCTGATGCTGATTACCGTTGCGGCCCTGTTGCTGTTCTTCTGCTTCAAGAAAACCGCCGTTTTCGTCTTCTGTGGAATATTAGAACTCGTGTGTGGTAGGTGGAGTTTTAATGATGCTTGAGATGTCTTGATAGGCCTTATAATTAAATGAAAAGTGCGATACAAGCAGTCTTAATTAGGTAGATCTGTTTCCTTTTGTAACCATTCCATGTATTTATGATCAGCACTTCAAAAAGTGTTTAAGTACAATAGAACCAACTATCCCCATTTACTATAATGTGGAAACAGGTGACCGGCACAAAAGAGTATGCATTTTTGAGTGTTGGGGGGGGGGGGGGGAGGGTTATTAGGGCTTCGAGAGTCTTCATTAAGAAGAGCGTATGGATGTCTGTGTGTGTGTGGGGGGGGGGGGGGGGTGGTGATGTTCTTCTTAAAACGTAAAATTAATAAAGACTGCCTTAAACATCAAAACACCATGCTTGTCAAATCACCCCGATAATTTATGCGTTTGACCGCAATACGGAGAAGGAGGGGGATAGTAGAAAGGTGATAAGGAAGAATATGAGAGAGGTGTCTTTTGACTTAGTTGACTTAATCCATTGTGGAGCAAAGGGCTGCAGCTACATCTGTCCACGTAAACTTCCACAGTCCTACTCCAGGATTGTTTTGACCGGCCTACTTTTCTCTTTGCTGCTCCAATCCAATGCTTGCCTCGCGATGTTAACCTCTTCTCAGTGTGTGCCTGATCCCTATTTGCGGGCTTTAATACCTCATGTCAATCGGGTGTTCCTTGTGGTTTGTCATTCGACATTTTGTCTGGTCATCTTAAGAATTTGTCGTAGACATCTGTTTGTGAACGACTGTAGTCGGTTGCTGAGTTAGTAGCCCTTCAGGTCTTTGAGCTATAAAGTCAGCACTTCTTCTTCTGGTTGTTTCTCTATAAGATTTTAATGGATTCATTCCAAAGTAACGTTTTCATTAATTTGCCTGCCTGATTAACACAAACCAAGTGTTTCTTCCAGTCTTTTTTCTCGGGGGAGGGTTGGGGGACTTGAAATTTCCGGGGCAGGGGAACTGTTAAAATTATATATTTTCTATATAAATTCCATTTCGTTTCTGGGGGGAGCGGTAGACTCTTTTCGACCCGAAGAGATGCCTGTAAGAAACACTGCACAAACCATCTTACACGTTTTAAACAATGACTAACTCAATAGCCTGGTACCCGATGACTAGTTTTTAATGTAATAAAAATAAAGTTAACAGAAAAAAAATGAAAATATTATTTCTAGAGCACACGAAGCTGCTAACCTAAAACAGGTTAAATATTGACATTTAGAGACGCTTTCAAAGACCGGTCTGAACGGTTTTTAGTGTATCCCATTACGTGCCTGCTAGCATGCTAAAGCAAATTTGATTTTTTTTTCTGTGGCATAATACAAAATTATTCCTTAGCTGCATGCGGTGAAGTTGTTTAAAAAGAGTGGGTTTCTTTGAAAACAATTAGTTGAAAATGGATTTGGTTTAAGTTCAGTTGTGAGTAGGAAGTGTAGTATACGCAGGTGAACCAAATAAGAAAGTTTTTCTAAAATAATGAGCTTGATTGCGGTTAAGATTGATTCGTGTAAGCGTGTATGTGTGCGAGTTAATCATTTACTGTGGTGGGGGGTGTGGGGGAGGGAGGTGTGTGGTGGACCATTAGGTATGTAGGTCTACCAATAGGTGTGTGTTCAGACGAATCTGTGCGGTTGGGGCAGTAGGTGTGTGGATGGAGCAGTAGATGTGGGTGGAGCAGTCGGTGTGAGTGGAGCAGTAGATGTTGGTGGAGCAGTAGATGTGGGTGGAGCAGTCGGTGTGGGTGGAGCAGTCGGTGTGGGTGGAGCAGTCGGTGTGGGTGGAGCAGTATTTGTGTGGGTAGCCAGTCGGTGTGTGGGTGAAACATAATGAGTCTGTGTGGGTGGGCCATTAGTTGTGTGTGGGGATGGGCCATCCATTGTGTGTGGGTATGGGCCATAATTTGTGTGGGTGGCGGTAGAAGAGATGCCTTGAAGAAACTCTGGGTATCAGATGACAATTCTTTTAGATGGAGTAAGGGAAAACATTAGTGGTATGAAATCTGCGGTATCAATTCTAAAATTATGTTTATTTACACTTTAAGAATATAACAATTATTTAAAAAAAAAATACGGTAGATAAACAATAGAATACACACAAACTGCAATTTGGTTTTCCTTTTAAACATTTTTTTTCTTGTTTTTAATTGAAGAATTTACGGTATCGACTAAAAGCTAAGCAAGAAGATTTTAAAATATGGCACTGAATATATTTTCTTACAATTTTATATAACTTAACTAACCCTCGTTCCAACATTCTCACTTTCGCTTCTGCCATCCGCCCCCATTTCCGGTTGAACCTTTCAACAAATGCTATCGCTATGAGCTATTTATTCTCCATGCATTGGCTCAACGGCTATCGGGAGACTCGTGAACGCGCCATTTATATATCAACACTTTCTCGCTAGATCTCGCGAGACCCCGAGGTAAAAAAAATTGTTTGTCTTAGCTTAGCCTAGCCTGAACCTGCACTGAAGTGATAAATGCCGTGTAATTTGTGGAAATTTTGTAGTTCGTATTACTGGAGAAGCAATATAACTTTGAAATACTGGAAAAAAAAGATTTCAGTGTTTTGGTAGACATTTTTGTAGCAGCTTCGTTGTTAAGCTCATTAACACCTAATCAAGCATCAGGCAATCACAGCATCCACTAAAACTCAAATATCCTCAATTAATTTAATAACCTATTGCACGGTGTCTTTAAAAATCTCTAGAAACCCCAATACCTTGTAAACTTCTCAGGGAGCCCAGCAATTCCTAGTGATTGCAATATGTAAAAAGTATTTTCTCCATGCACGTAGTAATCTCATCATGACATGGGTAATCTGAATATGGGGGTCATCAGTAAATGACGACACGTCTCCCTCCTCCCCTTCTTCATACAACATCACAAAAATGCAGACCCTCCCCCCGAAAATGACGTCAAACATGAGCCTACTCCCCCTCTAAATTGATTGCAGTTTATTTTTTTAACATCAATTTTTTTTCTTAATTGTTATGGTATCGATCAATATAGGACATGGTAATCGATTTCTATTACATTTTATTAAACAATTTAGTTTCTAACATTACTTTTTTTTTAAATACAAAAGTGTGACGTCACACTATCTAACCCCCCTCATCACACATAGTCACAAAATAACGAACCCCATCCTTCACCTCCAGAATGTGCACATAGTAATCCCACATTCATTCCACCAAACATGTCGTAACGTCACAAACCCACAATTATTCCATCACGCATTCTGTAATCACATCATACTCCTAGTAATCCCACCAATTTTGTAGTAGTTCAAACCACGAACTTAGTAATTCTCCAATGTTCTTTAAATCCCTTTATGCTCTAGCAAGCTTATCGTGCGTCTAATAATCCCACCAATTTCCGATTAAAAAGTAAAGCTTCCTTACAGACCTAACGATCCATAGAGCAAATGAAGTGGTCAGCACAATGCCCAGTAACCTTTACTTTCTCTAACGTGAATCAGGCACCCAACAGATCTGGGTGTACTAGGTGACGTCAAGCAGTCTCGAGTCCAAACCGAGATCGGAACTAGTAGTCAGGCGCTCTACCACTCGACCACTGTTGCTCAGTAAACCCACCAAAGTGCTAATAATCCCACAAGTTTTCTAATAACCCCACAAATTTCAATGAAATTAAATCTGTTTTCTAATAATCCCACCAATTTTATTGCAATCCACCAATTTTCTTGTAATCCCACCAATTTTCTTGTAATCCCACTCATTTTCTCGTAATCCCACCATTTTTCTGGTAATCCCACAAATTTTCTTGTTTTCACAAATTTTCTTGTAATCCCACAAATTTTCTTGTAATCCCACCAATTTTCTTGTAATCCCACCAATTTTCTTGTAATCCCACCAATTTTCTTGTAATCCCACCAATTTTCTGGTAATCCCACCAATTTTCTTGTAATCCCACCAATTTTTAAATCCTCCTACCAATTTTTGTAGTAAACCCACCATGCACCCTCTACTTAATCGTCCTCTCTCCCCAGCCATCTTCATGTTCCTGGCCTGTGTCATCTACCCCGCTGGCTGGGGGCACGCCGAGGTCTACAAACTCTGCGGCAGCAAGGCTGGGGAATACAAGATGGGAGACTGCAGCATCCGGTGGGCATACATCCTCGCCATGCTGGGCATATTCGATGCCATCTTTTTGGCAGTGTTGGCATTTTTCCTGGCGGCGAAGCGGGCGAAGATCGACGTGTATACTACAAACAGCACAGTATCAAAATGTAAGTAAAAAGAAAATGGTTTTTTTTAACCAAGGGAGGCTACCGTTATTTTATTTTAATAACGGATTATGGCCCTTAATTCATAAAAAAACTTCAGTTGCAGGCCTACAACTACATATTTAATTTTGGATTATTATTGTAGTGTGTATTGTAATAGAATAGAGATCTATGCTCATTAATTAATCTTGCCAGTTAAACTTTAAAATTAAACTACTTGACATTCGTAAATATTAATTCACCAGTTAATTACCCATGCAAGGCGCGCAGCCTTAGAATGATAAATGGATTCCATGACCACACACTGACTAGTTTAGTATTGGCGGGAGGAGGGGCATGGAGGGTTGGCACTGACCGGGCTATAGTACCGGACACTGAAATTCAGCCTTTCTCTCTTCCAATGTCTACCCCGTATTATCTAACAGATTGAATATGGGGGATTCGTCTGTCGGATGGTGGCGGTGGGGAGGGGGGATAGTGTCACGACTTATTCATCCACAATAACAGGGACTGTGACTGTGTCACCCGATGCGGTAACTGATGACGTCACTGCCCCTCCAACATTTTTTTTTTTTTTTGCATTTTCAGTTTGGTGTCACCCCTTTTCACCAACGATTATATTATCTTAACTGGATGATACATAGTTCTGACTGTATAAAATTATATTATCTTAACGGGATGAAACACAGTTTTGACTGTATAGTACATTTTAATGATATTTCGAGTTTGGTGTCACCCCCCCCCCCTAATTAGAGGCGTCATGTAGGTCAGACCGCACACCTTACCTTTGCCTTATTACTCCACTTGTTTGTGTGATAAGTTAATAAACTTAACCAATATGTTTGCATCGTCCTAGCTTTTCACTATATAAACAATAAGACTAATATTTCTGATCGTTCTGTTGCAGCTGAGTTGAACGGCTACTCCGAGACCATGTCCAAAAAATCGATCCCGATCCAGCCCCAGGTGGTGGCGGTGCCAGCCGACGTGGTGGACGACAGGTACAGCGAGTTCTCCAGGCACTCGGAGAAGCCCCGGTCCCGTGGGGGGTTCCAGCTGTAGCCCCGCCCCACCATCACCGTTCGTGCACTTCACTGAGATGTTCGCTACCCCATTCCTCACGTATCTGCTGATGTGACTAGATCTACTACTTAAAAAAAAAACAACAAAAAACAACTGCTGGTTATCTTAAAATTAGAACTGGAATTAGGGAACAATTTTTTTTACACATTAAATATAATTAGATTTTAATAGGGATGGTCTAAATATTAAAGAAAACAAAAATGTTTTACAAAATTTAAAAAAAGAAATATTGACCAGTGCCCTTGCTCTCTGCTGATGGAAATTTACCTATTTAAAAATTGTTAACTATCTTGAATGCAAAACTGAAATTAACATTTTTTTTTTATGTTTTGGCTCATACAAAAAAATTAAACCGTAAATGGTCTCTATATTAAACAATTAAATTACCATGTTTTACAAAATAAAAAAAAAAAAGAAGTATGCATAATGCCCTTTATTTCTTCTGTCACTAGTATTTAAAAATTGTTGACAATGTTAAAACTGGAACTAAATTTATTGTATTTTATTTTGATTTTATACATCTATGTAGTTCAATTTTATTAGTAAATAGTACAAATGATCATGTTCTACAAAATATATATAAAAAAAGAAATCATTGAGCTGTGCCCTTGTTTGGCTATAGTGTTTATTTTAATTTTATTATGAACCATTTGCCAGTAAATATAAAATCTATTTATATTTGAAAATTGAGAAACAAGTCTGACAAAGTCAAATTTAAATTATGATTACATTGATGATTGAAGTAATTATTTAAAAATCTTACTAAACCACAATAGTAGAATGAATTGTCATTATTTAAAAAAATTTCCATTTGTAAAATTTTTACTTTTATTTTTTTTATTCAAATCTTTAAAAAGAATCAAATACAAATTAGTATCAACTCTTTTTGTAAATAAGTTATTCATATACAAAGTTTTTCAATTTAATTTCTGTTTTTATTTTCATTTTTTTTTGTGAGCGCGATAATGATGAACAAGAGTTAAAGGCGAAAAGTGATCTGTTGTATTTCAAGAAAATATATTTGTTTTATGGTTGAATGATTAATATGAATGTATTGGCCTAATGTCAAAAGTAAGTCTTCCTTTTAGCTCTGTCACTTGTAATGCTAAATAAAATGTTCAATAAGCTAATACATATTTCTTTCAAATTGCATTAAAACTAGAATGCTTGGCATTTAAATTAGAGGGTTTTTTGTTGTAAAAATTGATTCGGAACTGAACATATTTCACATAGGTCAAAACTGAAAAAAACGTTTATTGTTAATAGTTTTTGATACTATAAGAAAGTTAAATATAACTTTTATCTGATAGTTTAAAATAAAACAACTAAAGTTTGTTAGCCTTTCAAAACTTCGACAAGATAAGTTAAAACATACACCACCGTCAATTTTAATAGAAACAAATATGACCTGGAGCTCTAAGACCGATAACTCTTATTGATATTCAACCATTTTTGTGTGCAAAGAGTGAATGATCTGTCCCTGTCGGTTAGTGTCCATTGTTGTATATAATTTCAAGTAGCCGTTTTGTATTTTTTTAAAAACTTTATTAAGACACTGTTGAAATATTGCTTGTATTTTATATATATATTTAAATCAAGTGTTTGTACATCTTTCTATGCAACATATTTGTTTTCGTTTTCTATTATCCTAAATCTCATTACCATTTTGGCTTGCAAATTTTTCATTACAAATGTCTCTGTCTATAAATCGTGATAAAAATAATTTAATATTTAAAATACCCAGAGCCTTGATAGTAGGGTTGACTCACGATATATATATATATATATATATATATATATATATATATATATATATATATATATATATATATATATATATATATATATATATATATGCAGCCATCTACCCCTTCTTATTTAACATTGTTCCTTTAACATAAAGCCGTACTTTTTTTCTATTAGTAAACAAAAGTTTACATTAGGTTGTGTTCTTTTTCTGTATATTTTAAAACTCTTGTTTATGCATAGCTTTTCTTTACCAATATATGGTGTATTTATTTTTATTTTTTTGGTTACATAAAGCAAAAGCAAATTTAGATTCTTTACAAAGCAATTTTCAGTTCAATTTTTCTGTGTCAATGATAATACTAACATCATATTTATAACAAGTTATATATACATATATATGATAAAAAATAATAAAAGATGACTTTTTAAAAAGATACTTCAAAGCATTCTCTGGTTTAAATTGAAACGCATGATTTATTATGAGGGTAATAAAACACATAATTTGATATTTTGTGGGTTGAACGCCCCGTGATGGAGATGCTAGAAATCAAGTTAAGCTGAAGATTGTGCAGGATCGAAACTCCGCGGCACCGCTGCCGTGGAATTAATCCAACGCCCATAACCGCTCAGGATGTTGGATGAATGAGGAAGTATGGAAGGTATTTGCATGTTAATAGAAAAAGAAATATGAGTGAGGAGGGGATTTATGCGAGATGGCAGTTTGGTGCACGCAGAATATGCTGTTCGCCTTTGAGGCGGTCCATAAATGATATCACACTCCTAAAGGGGGAGGTGGGGTTCGTAATTTTGTGACGATGTGTGATTAGGGGGAGGAGTGGGGGTTCAGAAAGTAAAATGTCGCACTTGCATAAAGATAAATGCTGCATTTTAGTCATTATTCCGCATTTTTAAAGCTGTTTTTGTAAATCAAATTAGAAATTAATTAACATACTCTATGTTGACCATGTTAAAAATAAAACTGCAATTTTGAGGGAAAAGGTGGGGGGGGGGGGGGGTTGTAGGCTGAGGAGGTGTGACGTAATTTTAGAATGGGGGCAGTCTTGCTTCTTGTGACGCTGTGTGACTATGGGAAAAGGGGGGTGGGGTAAAAAGCGTCCAAAAAGCGTGACGACATTTATGGATGACCCCTTTGGCCCTATGCGTTAAATGTAGTATTTTGGCATCTATAAATGAAACGGGTTTTGTTTTAATAAAACACATTAGTTCATAACTGTAACCTTTAATGAGTTGAAACTAAAAAGATTGTTGATTATGTAGATTTATCTTTGTCGAATAGAACTGTAGACGAGTACGTGGTACCTGATAACGTACATACCAGTTCCAATAACCTTTTGTGCTGTAATAGCAGACTACCCCCTTTAGCGAAATACAACATCAAAGGTTCTAATTAAAACAAAGCTGAAACAAAAACCTAGTCGAGCGATGGGAATACATGGGCAAACACGAAGAGAAACTATTTATACATGCAGATTGCTGGGGAAATTTTGGCTTAAGATTTGAAAAAAAAATGATTTCGTAAGACAAGAGCCATAGATAAAACGGTAAGCAGTGTGGATGTAAATGTTGTGTGTATGTCTTTGAATTTAGAGGCCTGTATGTAAATATTTATTTTGTATATAAAGGATATATATATATATATATATATATATATATATATATATATATATATATATATATATATATATATATAAAATATATAAAGCTCAATTCTGTATGTAAAAATACATATGTTTGTCGTTGACATACTTCCATGGATTTAAGTGTTAGATAATTAAAGTCCTTACGGTCGAAATTTATGAGTTAAAAAATTAATATTGAAAGTTTTGGGAAATAATTTTCATTTATCAAACTGAAAGTAATAATTTTCGGCATGTTCATTAAACACAAGTTTTAAAAAAAAATATCATCTTTTCAAAAATTCTAATTATGTCTTTATTTAGTCCTATAGCACTTACTTCCCTTTGATAAATTAGGAAAACACAATTAATTCCCTTTATAAAACATTGCATTAGTGGAAAAGAATTTACTTTTTATTACTTTCTTTTGGTGTTGGGGAAAAAAATAATTACATAATTAGCGGGGATTGATCAAGTGCAAATGTTGTAGGTATTTTACGAATAAGCTTGGAGTATTATAATAGTTCATTTGGTTTGGTTTGGCACCTACGTTCGTTTAAGTGAGTGCAAAAAGACTATGAATAAGTTGGGGTACTAGAGTCGATTATTAAGCTTTTTTCGTTTTCGTTTGTGTTTTTTCTTTGGGTTTGTGTTTGTATTTGTGTTTGGTTTTGCGTTTGGATTTGGTTTGTTTTCGTTTGCTTTTTCGTTTGTGTTTTTTTCTTTGGGTTTGTGTTTGTGTTTGTGGTTGGTTTTGCGTTTGGATTTGGTTTGTTTTCGTTTGCTTTTTCGTTTGTTTTTTTCTTTGTGTTCGTATTGGTGTTGTGGTTGTGGTTGGGTTTGTTGTTAGGTTTTTGTTTTCGTTTCCTTTTTTGTTTGTTTTTTCTTTGTGTTTGTATTGGTGTTTGTGGTTGTGGTTGGGTTTGTTGTTAGGTTTTTGTTTTCGTTTGTATTTGTAATTGTGTTAGCGTTATGTTTGCGTTTTGTTGTTTTGGTTTTGGTTGGTTGTGGTTTGGGTGGGCAGTGCCGGGTTTATGATGATTACTAAACACACAGGTAATGGTCTTTAACAGAAAGGTTTTTCACAGAAGCCAGAGCAGGGCCTGGCCGGGGCGGCTAGTATATATATATATATATATATATATATATATATATATATATATATATATATATATATATACATATATATACATATATATAAACCATCATATAAAAACACACACAACCGTGCCCCAAAAGCACCTTATAACAACACAAAACCATGCCTTTAAAGCCACCGTACAATAACACTTAGCTCTGCTCCTTACAACCACTTTATAACAACACCTAGCTCTGCCCGTTAAAACCACCTTATCACAACACACGAACGTTCCCCTAAAACCACCATATAAAACACACAATCCTTGTCCTTCAACCACCCAGCTTAACACGATAAATCCGTCCCTCACACCCTAATTATCACAACATTTCCCCTACATCAGACGGTCGAACCAGAGAATTATGTACCGCAGATGGTAGTTCATCAACTGAGCATATTTGGGTCCAACAGAACTAAAGGGTCAAGTCATTTGGTGCTGAAATAAAGAGTTCACTGACCCAAAGTTATGTCCAGTGGTATATATATATATATATATATATATATATATATATATATATATATATATATATATATATATAATGAGTCTAGCTCAAAATGTAGACCCAGTGTCTTTAGCTTTAAAATTGGTAAAGTTGTAGGTCCGTGTTACATATATAAGGAGTCTATAGCCCTAAATGTATACCCAGTGGTATAAATATAAAGAGTGTATATAGTCTAGATTCGTAGACCTAATGTTACACTTTTTTTTGCCACCATAGGTATATCGTATTAATGAATGTGTAGCCTTATATGACCGATCTGGTGATATAAAAAAGACAAATATTGTTCGTCAAAATTGTATGCCATTAGGTGTAGATATGAATAGACCCCCCCCCCCCCCCACACACACATCGCGCAGGTTCCTGTGGTATATATAGGATCCCTCCATCCACCCCACACACATGACATAAAAACTGATGTATAAATAGTAGGAGTACTAAAAACCATGTATGCTAGCCCCAGAATTTAAGAAACATCAGGTCTCTTACAGGAGTTGTTGGTACTGTTGTTGATTGTCCGAGTCTAGCGATTATTACTTCAGGCATATACATATATTGCACTGGCCAAGTTATAGAACTGAGTTCTGGGTAATCTACATATTAAAAAAACCTTTCAAATGTCTACATTTCCCCATAATTTCACAATTTCACGTAACTGAAATTACTTTTAAATCACTTGATCCCTGGAGCAATTTGAGTTTTAATTAATCAGTGAGAAACTATGTAAACCAGTTATATTCTTATACAGGTTAAGGGGTGAGGAATGGAGGTTTGAAAAAGAGGAAAAGGGTAGAATAAATACTGTATTTTATAAACAGACCGGGTATTGTATTACTATGTGTAGGCTCAGAAGCGTATATCAAGGTGTACACAGCTAACGTCATACAAAAGAGATTTAGAAGTACACCAGGAAAGGATCTTCATAAAAATATGAACTCTGGTAGTGTTATTTTCTTTGAGGCTGTTAAAGATTGTTTTAGATTAAATATACTCATGGGGTGAACTTGTGCACTTGCCCGCCGGTATAAACAGTGGGTATCAGGGAAAAACATATTCCGCTGCCTCTTCTCATTCCCCCCCCCCCCCACTGGAATAAAATCCCGCTGAACCTCAACGATGGTATATCTCCATTTCTATCATTTCCTTTTCTTCATGCCAATTTTTCTCAATCCAATCGCGTTAATTTCCTTCAAGCTGGTGTGATGGTGACGAACATAAACAAAAAACATTTGACTTTTCACCGAAGTACCGGAATAGTCAAACTACTTTCGCTTTTAAAATTATTGCTCTTGTCGAAATTTTAACCCACTCATAAAAATCATCTTGAGTCCACCCAGCTGTGATGGGTACCTAACTAGCCTTAGGGAAACTAGGGCGACTGGGCATAGTGCTGATCACACTATCCACTCGTATGTCGAGGTCATTGAAACAGATGAACTCTACTTCATCTTCCCCGTGTGTCTTGGGCACGAACGGGGAAAATTTTCGATGGGAGAAAAATGAAATATAAAAGTTTCAATCTCGGGTTGGGGCCCTTTTTAAAATTTCCCGGGCCTCTTGGACACAGCCCGTCCACCCCAGGATGTATTCGATTTTCTTTAACTTAATACTGCGTCTTTTAACAGTGTTGTACACAGTGGCGTTGCTAGGAAAAGAAGTGAAGGTGGCACTTTTTAAAAAAAATAGCGTGGGTGATGTCAAAGTTGAGTAACTTCGCCTGTGATAACCAAGAGCAGATTTATTAATTTATCGTCCCAATTATTTGTTCCGCGCATTTTATGTTTTAAAAGGTATACGACTCTATTTTGTTTCAACACTGTTAGCCACGATTGAAGAAAATAAAAATAAAATAAAATCATCACCACCCATAGGGAACTAGATTAAATTATAAAAAAAAACTTAATAGTTTGGCGTAAGGAGGTTGTGGTGGAGGGACTGCTAGCGTGCGCATGAATACAGTCACACGGTGAACGTTCTCCCAATAATTTGATTGGTTGCGTGTGGGCCGTATGTTCAAATAGCACAACCTCAGTCAGCGGAGATCACTACAAGAGGAGCAAATCTCAACTCTCCTACAAAAGAGTTACCGAAGAATTGAACGCTCGAGGTGGTATTTTTTTAGTTCAATTTTAAAAGTGGAGTTTGATACCAATAATAAACAGCATATTACGGCTTAAGATAAAAAATAGTATAAGACAGTAAACAAATCGAATACTGGACTTCAAATTAAAAGGTAAGTTAATTATTATATTTAGATAAGGAGTTGCTTAAAAGATCTTATTATTTATAAGCGCTGCAAAAAAAATACTGCGATTGTTTTTACGTTTTCGAACCCGACGTTCAGTGCGAAAAGGTAAAGTAGAGTTCACCTGTTAAATTTTCCTAGGCATATGTAGGGATAGTGTATTTAATTATATGCATGGTTGTTTTGTTTTGCTTTGTTTTACTATGTTTACATCATGTATGATCCAAATTGGAATGTTCACTTCCAGATTGAGATTAGATGATAACAATGATAACAATCATAACAATCATAACAACGATAACAACGCATCCATTGATTGTTTTCATGCTAAATCAGCCGAAGTACAGACTTTCTAGGTTCTAGTGCCCGCCCAATTCTTTTAACAAACCGCAGCCACGTAAACTCTGCTTCACCTGTCGCATCGGCCGTCAGGTCATAGATGTGATTGTTAGCTTTCGTTCAACTGAAATGAACGCGTAAGCATCATTTCAGCGTGTATCATGGTTCATAGAGTTGTTGAATAGGTTTTCTTCTTAAAATAATTAAATTTATTGAAATATATTTACAACTCGAGAATCGAACTCGAGACTTTCGGGTTAGCAGTCGTAAGCTTTACCATCCGACCACGCCGTCCCCTTTATGTCAAATACTAAAAAACAAACTCAGGCATACATACAACTAGTCTTACATGAGACACAGATATGATGCAAATCAAATTTATAATGCATCAGCATTTGCACATCTCAACACTAAATCTATTCGCATTATTCATTTATTTATTTAATGTACAGCATTTTCAGTATACCTGCAATAATTCGCCACAAATAACAATATTAGTGTATGGGCAATAACTCTCCACGAATAACGCGATTAATTAATGGGCGATAACGCTGTGCAATAACTGAGGAAATTAAGCTCTTTTACTAAAATAAAAGTCTTTTTGCAAAAGAGGAGAAGAAGCGGTGTGATTTTTAGAAAGACTTTGTCTAAGGGCCACTCTCTAATGACAATATTCTGTGCGCACGCGCAACACAATTATTTGGTTTCACAAATAAATCTAATATAAAACCATGCCCTAAAACAATGTCTAGCACTTGAAATAAACTATAGAGTTAATGGAGTTTAATAAAATGAGTCTACCGTCGTATGTTTTCAAATAAAGTCCTTTACTTAACAGCATTCGCTTAACTCAGGGGTCGGCAACCTGCGGCTCGCGAGCCGCATGCGGCTCTTTTGATATCAAGATGCGGCTCTCCAGCTCCTTGCACAAATACTAATAATCTTAATAAAAAAATAAAATATTTGGAATAAAAAAGTGTTAGTGGCTCTTTAAAACCAGGGAAATTTTGAAAATTGTAACTTTTGGCTCTTCCGCTTCAAAAGGTTGCCGACCCCTGGCTTAACTTATCATCACAAGGATCAACAAATAGAATTTTATTTTCAAAATGGCTGGGGACTTTGTGCCTGAATCAGAACTTAATCTTAAAGGATGGCAGAAGCATTTCAATAGCTACACATTGAGAGGGAGATTCAACTGGGTTGCAGCAACATATGGGTCATTATTTGGAGGCTTTATACTGTACAAGTTACTGAAGAAGAAACCTCAAATGGCAGATCACTAGTTTCTTCACAACAAATTCTAGTTTTAGTTACTGTGAGCAAAATAATATTGTATGAGCATTAAAAAATGGTAATAAAAATTTGAAATACAACTTTTAAAAAAAGAAAAAAAAAAAAGTCCTTTACTTAAAACTTAAAACAAATTTCCAGAACTCAACCTCACTGTTAAATAATTGAGAATTCGACGAGAGATAAAAGACCTTCTCTACTCAACAACCCACCTTCCAATCTCTCCCCCTCCCCGCTCGTTAGCTATTACATCACACATTCATTTCCAGTCTTTAAAATATGAAACATGTGGGTTTTATAAATCGGAAAAGTAAATATAATGCTAACTTTAAAAAAAGCAGGTCACCTATTAAACGTTGACGATGTTAGTGATAAATGAAATGTTACCATTTCTTTAACCACATCATTCGAAGCAATACATATAGAAGGTAAAAGGAATACGTTTTTTATCCATTTAAAATTTTAAAAAGTATTTTATGGTATCAAATTAGCTTTTATTTATAAAAAGAAATGTGTACTAGTTTTAAAATCCACGTAATTAACCTTAACAGATAATCCTTTGTCAGCAGCAGAAATGTGCCCAGTTGTGCATCACACGATTAGGCACCTTCAGAAGTGATTGAGAAATGTTCTAATCTGATGTGTGATACTTTATTTAACCACCTACACTTTCATAGTAAGAAATGTTCTAATCTGATGTGTGATACTTTATTTAACCACTTACACTTTCATAGTGAGAAATGTTCTAATCTGATGTGCGATACTTTATTTAACCACCTACACTTTCATAGTGAGAAATGTTCTAATCTGATGTGTGATACTTTATTTAACCACCTACACTTTCATAGTAAGAAATGTTCTAATCTGATGTGTGATACTTTATTTAACCACTTACACTTTCATAGTGAGAAATGTTCTAATCTGATGTGCGATACTTTATTTAACCACCTACACTTTCATAGTGAGAAATGTTCTAATCTGATGTGTGATACTTTATTTAACCACCTACACTTTCATAGCAAGAAATGTTCTAATCTGATGTGTGATACTTTATTTAACCACCTACACTTTCATAGTAAGAAATGTTCTAATCTGATGTGTGATACTTTATTTAACCACTTACACTTTCATAGTGAGAAATGTTCTAATCTGATGTGCGATACTTTATTTAACCACCTACACTTTCATAGCAAGAAATGTTCTAATCTGATGTGTGATACTTTATTTAACCACCTACACTTTCATAGTAAGAAATGTTCTAATCTGATGTGTGATACTTTATTTAACCACTTACACTTTCATAGTGAGAAATGTTCTAATCTGATGTGCGATACTTTATTTAACCACCTACACTTTCATAGCAAGAAATGTTCTAATCTGATGTGTGATACTTTATTTAACCACCTACACTTTCATAGTAAGAAATGTTCTAATCTGATGTGTGATACTTTATTTAACCACTTACACTTTCATAGTGAGAAATGTTCTAATCTGATGTGCGATACTTTATTTAACCACCTACACTTTCATAGTGAGAAATGTTCTAATCTGATGTGTGATACTTTATTTAACCACCTACACTTTCATAGCAAGAAATGTTCTAATCTGATGTGTGATACTTTATTTAACCACCTACACTTTCATAGTAAGAAATGTTCTAATCTGATGTGTGATACTTTATTTAACCACCTACACTTTCATAGTGAGAAATGTTCTAATCTGATGTGTGATACTTTATTTAACCACCTACACTTTCATAGTGAGAAATGTTCTAATCTGATGTGTGATACTTTATTTAACCACCTACACTTTCATAGCAAGAAATGTTCTAATCTGATGTGTGATACTTTATTTAACCACCTACACTTTCATAGTGAGAAATGTTCTAATCTGATGTGTGATACTTTATTTAACCACCTACACTTTCATAGCAAGAAATGTTCTAATATGATGTGTGATACTTTATTTAACCACCTACACTTTCATAGCCTCATCTCATTCCTAAACTTTGAGCCCTAAGTAAAGCATAGAAACAACATACCCGCAGCTTTTGCCGACCGATCTCTACATCACTAACCTGATCTGCAGTCATTAAGGATATCATCTCAGTAGGGGGGGGGGGCGGATTAAGCTTGAGCGAGGACCCTTAATGAAACCAATCCGGGGCCCTTGAAGGTACAAGTATCATAATTAACTCTGTTTAATCTCATTACAGCAGATTAAAAATGTGTCGCCAAAACACAAAATTTAGGAAGCCCCCCCCCCCCCCCAAGTGCCCCCCCCCCCACCCCCCGTCTGCAGTCCAAACAATCTTTCCCTTCATCCACCACTGCACCTCAGATATGAGTGAAGTGAGGAAATAAAAGTTACAATTACTTTACGTTAAGGCAGGGGTCTCCAAACTACGGCCCGCGGGCCGGATGCGGCCCGCGAAGTCCTCTCATCCGCCCCGCGGAGATCTTTTTGTCCACGGGAAAACCGTTTGTTGGTGATGATGAGGAACTTTGCCTAGAAAAATCAAAAACATGCCTGGAAGAAATTGGCCCCCGAACAGAAATTTGATAGTTAATGCGGCCCTCGGACTGAAAAGTTTGGAGACCCCTGCGCCAAGGCATACAATAACACAGAAGAGCAGAAGTAAGGGCGGACAAAAGAAGTAAATTTATGGTTGAGGCTCTAGGCTCCATAAGGTAGAGAGGGTTAAATAAGTACGCAAGTCATAAAAGAACAAGAAGAAGACTATCAACAATGAGCTAGGTTATGGTGTAAAACATAAATTGTATACAGCCTAAACATACATTTAAAAAATAAACACAAATTTGGGATATTTATATCGAATTAGCGTTTGGGAAATCAATAGATCATCGCTAAACCTTGAAAAAAAAAAGATACAATGTATTTAAATAAGACAGAGCATTGGTAATTTATTTCAAATATAGGTCTACATTTTAAAAAGGATTTACATTTTTTAGCAATTGTATACACCAATATAATAACAAATAGTTGCCAAAAATTTGAGTGGGTTAACATCCCCTCCCCTTTCCAAATCACCCTTTAGATCTCCCTATAGACTATAGAGGTAATACATTGTGATAGATAGTCTTATCAAGACTAGCAATATGTTATTGAAAATATTAATTTTATAGAACCAATTTTATGTTTAAAAAAATATTAAAACCTAGATAGCAGATGCTAGGGAATCGATAGATTGGGATAGACGTACCCAGTGATGCGTGAAGTCAGACACGCAAGCATCAGACTCCAAGAGTCAGCTCAGCAAGACCCGTATAGCCCGTCCTCATGTGTGTGTGGGGGGGGGGAGGGGGGCAGAGGATCTCATATGTGAGGGAGAGGATTAT